TATACAGGACACAAGGGCTCATTGAATGGTTCAATTAAAATGAAAATGATGTGGATTTATTGATCTATTGAACACAAATGGGAGATTGGAGATGGGTCCAAAGACTAGATTTGTGTTAGTAGTCACCCATCTGTATATATATAGGCTATATAGGTATATGTGTGTGGTATACACCGATCAGCCATAACATCCTGAGCACTGACTGGTGAAGTGAATAACACTGATTATCTGGTTATCATGGCACCTGTCAGTGGGTGGGAGATATTAGGCAGCAAGTGAGCCTTTTGTCCTCAAGTTGATGTGTTAGAAGCAGGAAAAATGGGCAGGGTGAGGATCTGAGCAACTTTGACAAGGCCCTAATTGTGATGGCTAGACGACTGGCTCTTGTGGGGTGTTCCCGGTCTGCAGTGGTCAGTGCCTACCAGAAAAAAAGCGGTGTACGTGTACGTGGGGAGCGAAGGTTAGCCCGTGAGGTCCGATCCAATAGATGAGTAACTGTAGCTCAAACTGCTGAAACAGTTAATGCTGGTTCTGATAGAAAGGTGTGAGAACACACAGTGCATCACAGTTTTTTGGTATGGGGCTGCAGAACATTATGACCACCAGCGTGCCCAGGTGCTCATAATGTTAAGGCTGATCAGTTTACAGTGTGTGTGTGTGTGTGTGTGTGTGTGTGTGTGTGTGTGTGTGTGTGTGTGTGTGTCTTCCTTACACAAACAGTAACGTTTCCTGGCTTCCAGTGCTCTAACTTTTCCCTTCACTGCAGTGATGTACAAGTGTACTCCAGCACTTGGTGACATCACTGTTGGGTGTGGTTACAGGTGCAACAGAGCACATTTCTGGCCCCACCAACCCTCACTGTCAGAAGTAAAACAGGCTTAAAACTTTCAACCAGAGAGCAGCAAAACACTGCCTTTCAGCCTGTTGCTTACTCACTCTTTAAGCTCTCTATGTCTCTCTCTGCTTCTCCTTTCCGTCAATTGTTCTCCTCTCCACCTTTTCTCCCTCGCTTTCCTTTCCTGCCTAGACTTCATCTCCCTCCCTCTCCTCTCTTTGTGTTTTCTCTCCTGTGTTTCTTCATTTTCCTCTGTGCCCGTCCTCAGCCTCACCCCGCGGTCTCTCTCCACTCTGTGTTCAGGTCTTCTTCTCTTTGTGTTTCTCCCTCTCCATTTTTTCTCTCTCCCTCTCTGTCTGTCAGTCTCTCTCTCTCTCTCGCTCACTCTCACTCTCTCTCAACCAGTTGTTTCCTCCAGTGAGTTGATTTGGAAATAAAAACTCGACAGCAGACAAAGTCTAGAGAGAAGGAAAGCGAGACGCCACATGTACTTTCCAATATAAAGTATATAAATGTGAAATATTTTGATTTAAAGAAAAGTCTTCTCTACTGTGTGCATGTGCGTGTTTCAGTGTTGCATAACCTTTGTGAGTGGGCTGCTGTTTGTGTCCAGTGTTTATAAACTGCTCTGCTCCAACAGCACTAACATTGTGAAATCACTCACACACGCACTCACTCCTTTTGTAAATGAAGTTAGGAGTCATCCTCGTTCATCCGTCCGGCTGTTAGTTGTGTTGAACAGTGACAGTTTTAGGGATAGTCGACCCCCTACAATGGAAACACATTCAAATGTTGGAATTCTTGAGGATGTTGTGGATGGAAGGGACTGCAGTTTCACAATTTAAGAGCAGATAATCAGCGAAGTGTCTCTTCATGTGTAAAAATCTGCAACCTTTAAACCTACAGCATGTAATTCCTGCTGCCACGTAAATTCTGACGTTGTAAAGTAGCGCCAGGTCATGGGAGTTGTTGTCTTTACCAACCATCATCATTGTAGTCAGTTTCTCCCGGTTAGGATTCCTTCATTGTTCATCGCAGGAGTGCTTTCACTTATCCACAGACGTCTCCTGTCCACAACAAACTGGACCCTATAACCCTAAGCCAGTGATTAAAACCGGTAAAAACACTGATTAAAGCCTCAGCCTTAAAAATCTGTTTCTCCCCGACACTGTTCGGCAGACAAAGAATGTCCCAGAGGCAGACATCCGCTGACTAAAATCCTTCATCCGGTTAAAATATATAGTTAAAAAACGACCAAGATCTTAAAAGAAACTAAAAATCTCTCACTTTATGACAGTTTCTGGCTGACCACAGCACTTATGCGTGAGCAAAGCATTGTTGGAAACATTTGTGATAATGTTAGTACTCAACTCAACAAAATATATAACCTATGCTTCGTGTTTATAGACATTTAACATTGCGGAAATGTTACATATTATTGCTTTAAGTGAGGCTAGCACACAAACTGTCAATCATCATAGCGATCCAAGAAACATTTGAGCATCACCTTTTCACTAAACAGTTGCCTGTTATTCATTGGTTATGATGCTCCAGTGAACTATTCACATTCTAGGTGTTGACCTTTGACCCCTGTGAAGTCAGAAAGTTTAGTTACATGTTTGACTTTGAGTAAATCTTCACTTTATGAATGTTCACCTTTTATTTATTGTTTTTTTCAGCCAAGTTAAGTTTACTAATATAAACCTTGACTGCAACTATTCACAGCACATACATTTTCATTTTCAAATATTCCTGACTATTCAGAAAACAAAAATCCACAGTACATCCACATTTGAAGTTAATAAAAAGCTTTGAGAGGGGCATAACTGGAAGTAGTTAATAAAAGGAGGGACCTAACCCTCCCTCCAGCCTCCACTGCACATCATGTGGATCTCTTTATCTGTCTGTCACTAAGCCTCAAGCTCTGGTTCCCTGCACTTCATTTTTTCCATGAAATAACTCTTTGACTAAACATTTCTCAAAGATAAAATTGAACATGAGCTGACGATGACGAGGGCAGGTGATCTCAATTAATACTGAGCAAAAATACTTGGCTCTGCCGATGGGCTGTAGAAACAAATGACAGGACACGAATCACAGTTAGAGAGGAATAAGAAATGTTTTGCTTGAAGATGTGTTGGAACACAATCAGTATAAACCATTCAAATAAACTGTGATAAATGGAGGATGATTTGAACTAACTTGTTTGCCTTTGGTAATATGTGATATATGATTCAGTCTGAGCTGATCTGACATTGAAAGTAATGATTTTTCATCCAACTTGTTTTTGTATATTTTGGGTTCTTACAAATGAGTCAGTGATAACAAGTTTAACTTTATCAGACTCTGTCGCAGTCACATCCTCCTCCTTTCTGCTCTGTCGCCATCATAATAAGAGAAAGTGAACCGCCTTTTCAGCAGCTTTGTTGTCTTTCCACCTCTGAACACAGTAACAGCAGCTACATTACACTGTATAATAATTCATATATATATATTATATATTAGAATTCATTATTTAAGTTAGTTTCCCCCGCATCCTAAACTTCTCTCTCTCCCTCGCAGAGATGTAGCGTGTGTGTTGTTGTGATCGGCGGACCATCATGCACCTCTTCCTGCTGCTGATCCTTCAAGCCACAGCAGCCTTGGGACAGATCGACCCCGGTACACACACACACACACACACACACACACACACACACACACACACACACACTGAGACAATATATTCCCCGGTCTGTAGACCTAATTTAGATCAATGAAGTTTTATATGCTTGTGTTTTCAGCACACTGTCGCTATGCCTTGGGCATGGAGGATAGACGGATTAAAGACGATGACATCACAGCATCCAGCCAATGGTATGAGACCACAGGACCACAGTACGCCAGGTCAGTTTGACTTTAAGAGTGATGTTGTGTGTTATTATTTAATAAGATATAAATAACTGCTGACTTTATTCTTCTTTCTTTCATGTTTTTGTATGTTTTATCTGTTTAATATTTACAGAGTTGATCGGGATACTTTTATAGTTTTTATAACTAATCTTAAAACCAAATTAATTTTAATTCTGACATACGTGGAGAAATATTATTTGATCCCAGTGTACATGGTACGAGATTACCATGTATTCATGTAGAATCATTTTTAACTTGGTTTAAGTGTCAAATAAGACTTGAAATATAACATGTAGAAAAATCCAAACTCTGAAGATCATTCTGAATGTATTGAATTTCTCATAGCCCCTCACTTCTGTTTTTGGGTGAACTCCAATGTAATGTAATTCCAATTTCACCACTAACATTAACCAAAATAAAGCTTGAAAACACAACTCCAAATGACACATCAAAAAATGTTTCAGACTGAAAAAGGACACGAAGTGTATCATTTAACTGTTTTTGATCTACTTTATCAAATGTTCCCAGCATGTGCAGACACTCTGTATGAACTCTGTGTGTGTTTGCAGGTTGAATCGTGAGGAGGGAGATGGCGCCTGGTGTCCTGAGGGACAGCTGGAGCCTTCAGACAGTCAGTACCTGCAGGTTTGTGTCTGCTCAATGCTTTAAAGAAAGAAACGATCCCAAACATGTTCAATCATGTCAGTGTACCAGTATGTGTTTGAAAATTCATGTTCCAGTGTCTGTAAGAAGAAGCAGAAGAAGTGTAAAGTCAAAGGCTGATTAAAGGCAAAATGTCCTCAAAAATCTCTAGGCAGTCCAGCTGCCTTTAAAGAAGCACTTATATCAGGGGTTAAGTTAGGATGTGTGAGGAGGAGGCGTCCTGCCTGCAGGAGGAAGGTGATGCTGCAGTCAGTGAAACAGGAGAAAGTTCAGTAAAACCTGTTGTTCATCTAATAGTTCAACAGTGTAAGAAATATGAATTTTGCTGACGGTGGGTCAGTTTTCTGTCATCAGCCAACTTCATACATGTAAAATGTAGGCTTGCATGTTCACAAATATTGATACATTTTATGTGATTTGTGCAACTACCTGAATTCTTTACCAGGGTTTGGAGTCTAACTCAAATCTAAAACACTCCAGAATACAAAAATGTTTACTGTGGAGTGCCGCCAACATTTGATGAATCCAATTTTTATAGATTATCATTTGCTGTTGGTCGCACACGTACATACAACTGTCTAAAAACCCAGGATCCTAGGAAAATAGGACAGATTGAAAAAAAAACATGATAGAAAACAGGAAAAATTCCATCCGCTTTTAGTTGACTTTTATTTTTTTATTTTTTATTTTTTTGTATTATTTCTTTTTTAAAAACAGTTTTTAACATTAAAAACTATTTATAAGGGCTTGTGATGCATTAGCAGGAGAATTTGAACACTAACCTGATCCCACTCAGTGTTTTAAGTGTTATTTATGATCAGTCATCTCTGTCTAATGTCTAATGTGCATGCTATTGTGGCTGTGTGTGTGTGTGTGTGTGTGTGTGTGTGTGTGTGTGTGTGTGTGTGTGTGTGTGTGTGTGTGTGTGTGTGTGTGTGTTTGTTTGTTTTTCTAGAATTGGATGATTATTAGACATTAAGGTAATATTTAGGGAATCATTTAACAAAGGTACAAACACAAAATGCTATGTCTTCACAAGTTTAAGGCTGGCACAATATGCCCAAAGATAAACTTCAGTTTTTTGGTAACTGGTTTTCACATTAGTATCTTTAGAGAAACCCAACATATGGTCTGTGGGTTGTTGTTGGGTCACTAATTTGACAGATGTGTTGATGTGTTCAGGTGGATCTGGGCAGGCTGACCTTCCTCACAGTCGTCGGGACTCAGGGACGATACGCCAGGAACTCTGGGAACGAGTTTGCCCGAGCTTACCGCCTCAACTACAGCAGGGACGGCCTGCTGTGGAAGTCCTGGAAGAACCGGCTGGGAAATGCTGTGAGTGACCCCAATATTTTCCCTACAGAGGTTAGACAGAAATCTGAGCAGCAGAAAGAATATCAGAAAATCTGGAGCGGAAACATGTGACGGAGTGATAGAACAGAGAGACGGCAGAAGAAGAATGGGAGAAAGAGGAAGGAAAAGAAAATTATGCTTTTTTCATTGTGAACATTTCGTCATTCACCCTCGAATCAGAGGAAATGACATTTACACACCGGCTTCCTGTTGGCCTTTGAGGTCCCAGGCAGCTACAGCATTACACACCATTAGGACACAATTTAACACCAGGTCATGTTTTTGTCTGAAGCTGTTGGACTGAGCAGTTCCCTCCCTCACATTCAAACTGGGAACTTCCCAGAACCACCATAGAGTTCTGCTGAACAACAGAAGGATTCAAACAGGAACAGAAACTTTTCTATTTTAAGATAGAAGGAGGGATTGATTCCTGGTAGCCCAACAAAGGAGCAAACAAGGTTAGGTGATGAAGTCAGTGAGCAGTGTTGTAGTTTGATATTGATCTGTGCCAATTTGTAAAACAAAACTGACATAAAACACAAATAATTTCTAGCATTTTAAAACAATATTAAATGAATTCCCCAAATGATTCAGCCACATAGCACAGTGGTTCTCAACCTGGAGGTCAGGACAACCACTAGGGGTCCTCAAAGCTTCACGAGGGGTTACAAGATCTTCTTTATTTTAAGGGGTGTAAGAAAACATCAGAAATATATACAGTAGGTCTATATCTCAGCATTTCATTCATTTCTGTGAAGAAAACAGTTTTTACTCTTCACTCTAATACCTGCCTCGTCCTGCATTAGAAAAGTATGCAGTTAAAACAACCAAAGAGCTAATAGAACAATGGCCAAGGATCAGGAAGAAGTCAACACTGAATTTGCCTAAAAGAAGCCTATTAAGTATGTATCACTGTTAAAAGAAGTAAACCTAATCCAGACAGAAAATGTTATTAAACATTACTAAAAATATCAGGAAAACTACTCTCTAGTGCCATATTCACAGGAAATAATCTGCTGAACATTCATCCAAATCTCTTGTTTTACACGACCTTCCTGCAGTTATTGCGTTCACTGTTTGGTTTAATTGTACAGTTCAACAGTTGTTCTGTACTCTTCTTACAAAATATTCTTAAAATATGTCACTAAGTCAGGGGTTGCAGATTACTTAATGATAGAAAAGGGGTCTCTTAAGGAAAAAGGTTGGGAAGCACTGACATAGCAGAATGAAAGATAAAGGGAGAAAACTGACCACTTCATAAATATAGTAACACAAGGTAAAACAATTTTATCAAAGTCAGATTTTAAGTTTATTAGCTTATGCTCTGTTCATCCTTGTTCTTAATGTTCTCAGACCTTAATAACAGAGGATGTATGGACATGGGTGTTTTTATGCCTGCATGTCGCAAATGTACAAACTAATTTCCCTCTTCAGGACTGTTGATCCTGTTGTTTGTCATGTGGTATTTGTTTCCAGGTGATGGAGGGCAACAAAAACGCCTACACCTCAGTCATCAACGACCTTCACCCTCCGATCATCACCCGCTACGTCCGGCTGATCCCGGTCACCAAACTGTCGACCACCGTCTGCATGAGAGTGGAGCTTTACGGCTGTCCATGGGAGGGTAGGACACCCAAACACACTGTCACACTGTAAATGTGTGTGTGTTCTTTGGCTCTGCTGACATTGGAGGTTGTTGTTGAGTTAGTGGATTTAGACTTTTATCACTTCTCAGGAATGTTTACCCCTTCAGAGACACAAGTAAACTCCTCAGAAACCTCCTCTTTCTAAAATGTCAATATTAAACCTAACACTGTAAATCTGTTGTGCAATAAAACTAAATCACGTCAACAAATTTAATGCCAAAAGTAATTACAGTTTTATTTTATCACACAGTTTATTTGCAAAGGAATGCACATCAAGCAAGTGCAGCAGAAGTTTTATCTAAATTGTAGCACATAAAAAGGGAGTTATGTACTTTCCAGTGAGCTTTCAATATTTTTTAGCCACGGACTGTAATGTGTCCGTTAAATCAATTATTGAAAACTGTCCTGTCCCAGCAGCTGGCAAGCTCCCAGTCTAGTTTACTAATTCATTAATCTGATATGTACTATGATCATCAGCAGACCTGCCAACATTCCCGTTTTACCTGGGTTTCTCCCATATCTCTAGAGCCTCCTCATTTAGTGGTTTCACCCGGGAAACTCCTGTAATTTGCATGGCCCTCAAAATTTGGACTGGGTCGGTAGTTCAATCCCTATCTCCTCCTGAATGAGAGGCAAGTTGTTGCTTGGATAGAAGCGTTTTATTAATACAGCCATTTAGCATTAAATGATGATGAAGCTAGTCAGTCTAACATCTAACACCATATCAGGAGTATCAAGTTATAGTAACACTGAAAACTGTTGGCTGGTTTACTGATTACATTCCTGTTCCCTAGAGGATGAATCCTTTTGATTTTTCTCTAGCTCCACCACCAGCCCAATCTACTAGTAAGGCTATGAGAATAGCTAAATCGTAAGTATGTTTATTGTTTTGTCCAATGATTGTGTACTGTTGGGTGTAACAAACATTTCAGCCTTGAGGAGCCACTATTAGAGCCGAAGGCCTCTTAGTGCCCAGTCTAACTGCTAACTACCAGTTATCAAGTTAGTGAGCTAAGTCCATAACCTGAACATGGGTTAACACTGTTTATTCAAGAGAGCTCATCATGTCATTATGTCCATTTTATAAAACTTCACATACTCCCCTTTTAACCTGTCCTCTCCCCCCCTGCAGACGGTCTGATCTCCTACAGCGCTCCGGAGGGTCAGCTCATGATGCCGCCTGGTTATCCCATCGCCAGCCTCAATGACTCCACCTATGACGGAGTTCATGAGAGAAGGCGAGTCACATGCCCTCATCACACATCAGTTTTTCCCATTTCCCTGCTCTGTGTGGCTGACAGCTGTCTCATTCAATAGGAGGCTGTTCGGGGGGATGGGTCAGCTGACAGACGGTGTGATCGGCCAGGACGACTTCCTGGTGACGCGTCAGTACCACGTGTGGCCGGGCTATGACTACCTGGGCTGGAGGAACGACTCGCTGGGAACTCAGGGATACGTGGAGATGGAGTTTGTCTTCGACAGGCAGAGGAACTTCACCTCCCTGAAGGTTTTTAATTCTCCTCACTTTATTTTATCATAGCAGCTTATAAGACATTTTAAAATTCTAGCGCATAGCAGTACTAAACAGACCCAGTGAAGCACGGACGGAGGGACTACTCACAGCCGATAAACATTGCACTGTACACAGCACACCAGTGTGCTTACACAAGTGGAGGTGAACTCATTAACCTGTCCAAAATGGCACAAACCTGTTCTATTCATGTTTTCCTTGTGGGTTTCACTCAGTTTCATTCATTCTTTAACCATCAAACTCCAGAATTTGCACTGAAAAAAAAAAAGTAATACATTTTATGCCAATTAAGACAGCAGTAACTGACATCACTGGTTAACTGCTGTACTAGACAGTAAAACAGCATTTTTACAAAGATATAACAATTCTGTCAGTACTAAATACAAATATGGAAAAATATATAGAAAAAATAACACTTATTTAATACAGATTCAGCTTTTTGTACAGTTCATTGTAACCTTGTTGTTATGAATACAACATCCTTGTACTTTCCATGTCCCTTTACTTCATTTTTTCTTCTACTTTTTCTTTATTTGCCTTTTCTTTCTCATTTTAATGCATATGTATTTTATCCTATTATGTACATATATATATTTCTATTAATAGTTGGCTATATTTATGCTATGCTTTGTACATATATTTTAAGGATATTTATACTATGTATACATTTATTTTACTATATACAAGATACCAGGCATCTTGGGAACAAAAGTCTTCCTGAGAATGGATACAAAGTTCCATCTCATAGTATCTTTCTTAGCCTATTACCCAAAAAATACTGTATAATAATACCATTTGTCTTCAAATATGAACTGAAAACTCAAGCATTACAAATATAAAATAATATAGTTTTTTAGAACAACTGAAAGGAAACCCTCTATGAGAAAATACTGTGTCTGGCAATGAGGCTCAAATACAATGTTTGGAAATCTTCCTTTAAACCAATACAGCAGAAAGTTGGCAAAAAGATCAATTAAAAATAAAATGAATATTCTGACTATATTTTTTTATTGTGTTTTTAATCTTACAAATACAATCTCTCCTCTGTCCCTCTGTTCAGGTTCACAGTAACAACATGTTCTCCCGCGGTGTGAAGATCTTCTCCTCTGTCTCCTGTTGGTTTAAGCCCCGCCTCATCGCAGGCTGGGAGGCGGAGTCTGTGGCGTTCAAGACGGTGCTGGATGACAGAAATCCGAGCGCCCGCTACGTCACTGTGCCGCTCAACCGTCGCACCGCCAAATCCATCCGCTGTCGCTTTTACTTCGCTGACGTCTGGATGATGTTCAGTGAGATCTCCTTTCAGTCAGGTATAACACAGACACACACACACACACACACACACACACATAGAGATACATGCATACATGATCATATAAACGCACACACAGATTCACAGTTCTTTCAAAACAGACAATTGACATGATTTCCCTTCATTTGTTCTTCAGAGGACACTGTCCTCCCTACCCAGATTACCTTGGAGGTGACCTCTACTCCAGTCACCGAGGAGGGCACCATGGCAACCACACCAAAGACAGGTTTGACCTTTGACCTTACCCTTTTCTTTTCACATGATCCTTTAAAATGTATATTCTGTGTAATAGCATCAGTAAACCATCCCCACATTTAACTGCAAACAATAGTATTATAACAAACAACTACACCTCTAACCTTTCACCACAGCAGTCAATGCGTCAACAAGTGACCCGCCAGATGACGGTAACACGCCCATTCTGATTGGCTGCCTGGTGACCATCATTCTGCTGTTGGTCATCATCATCTTCCTCATCCTCTGGTGCCAGTACGTTTGCAAGGTGCTGGAGAAGGTGAGCAGATAAACCTGTAGAATTATTTTTTAATTATATGCGCTTCTGGTCATTAGAGTTTCTTATTTCCTTGATATACATTCTTCATTATTCTGCCCCCAGGAGTGTTCAATGAATGAGATAGTTAATATCCGGCTAAAGACCTTTATGTTGTAGGATTTGTCACTTTGAGGACACCAACAGGTGGTATCTGAAAATACAGATCTGACCTGGGGACACTGAGATGAGAAGCCATCATAAAGACACTTTTATCACTAATACTACATATACAGTTTTAAAGCACAGTTCTCAGTAAAGTGGTGGTCTAAACACTTTCCTAATACATCTATTGTCTTCAGTTCCCAGTAAGTCTCTGGCAGCTTCAAGCCACCTGTTCAATCTTAAACTGTTTTGTTAATCTGAAATCATCATAGAGCAGCAAATCTAAACAGCTGTTCACAAACCAAAAGCAGAATAAGAAGTAGCCTTTTATTTTCCATTTTAGGAAATAAAATTGTTGCACTGTTGTTTATTACAAAGAAGAAAATGAAAGTGTTGGATAAATAAAAAATGGAGAGAAAACTGTTCCCAACCTTTTCCTAACTAATTTCTCCATGAACATTATGAAATGTAAGTTCTATGTAAAAGTAGATGCTGACAACAACAACAAATCATAAAGCTTCATGACCTGCATAAAGGGGTGGATCATTGTTGTCTCTAGACTAGATAAAGAATAGTCGAACACACAGATTATTAATATGCATATTCCTTAATGCTGAAAGAAATGTTTTCCTTTCCCTCCGTCCTCTTCCAGGCTCCACGTCGGATCCTTGACGAGGAGGTGACAGTTCGGCTGTCATCCTGCAGTGACACCATCATCCTCCAGACCCCCCCTGTTCCCCCCCGCTCCGGCCACGGCCCTACAGGTAGCCCGTCACACTTATTTCAAGTCGAATTGAAGGCCAGAAACGGATGAACAACCTCATTTGTAGAGATTGTATTTATACACAAGCCTTTCTTTCCCTATAAAAATGAACCAATTAAGAGTGACTAAGATTGAGATTAGTGCTGCTTGTTTTTTCATCTCACACATTGAGACCCCAAAGAGAGTTTGGTACATTTATTGAAATGTAAACTCTGTTATAATACGCAGTGAGTTATGGTCTTGGGTCCACCATAAAAACAGTGCTCTGGCTTTTTCTGTGATAGGTCTAGGTATTACTGTAGTTTGTCATCACTGACAACGCTTCATTAGTTGTAATCAGTACATTTGCAGTATTTTTCATATTGTGGGTTCCTCCAACAATATAATAATAATAATAATAATAATAATATAATTGTTATAATAAGTGAAGGTGAAGGTGTGGCTGGATCATGAAGACACTGTTTTTATGATTTTTTGAGTGATATCAGGACCAAAATATTTACAGAAAACATCTAATATTCAAGTATAAACTACAGTGTTTTCATGGATAAATGTTGCAGATACAATCCCAAACGACTAGGGAAACAAAGTTGGAAATAAACTGTACAGGAAAACTGGCCTACACAGGGTAGCTTGGCCTTTGTTTGCTTGATTATTTAATGTTTTTTTGTTTTCCTCAGTCCCCGCCAACACTGACCCTCACTATGAGAGAGTTTTCCTGTTGGACCCACAGTACCAGAACCCGGCAGTGCTCAGAAACAAGTTGCCAGAGCTGTCCCAGAGTGCAGAGGCCTCAGGTAAACACACTGAAACTCATTTGTTTTAACCTTCAGTACTTACAGCAGTTAGATCAGAAAGGAAATATGAGAATAAGGTTGACACATAAAATCATTTCCCTGAAAATCCCTTCTTACAGGCACGTCATCATGTTCATGAGCAGTTATTGACCATCTGCTCATGTTAGACATATCTCATCCAGGAAACATAAAGTTGAGTGGAAGTAAACCTGAATCCGTGATGCCTTAAAAATGCTCCAGATCTTCTATGATGACATGTTTAGACATGACTGTAAGAGAGAGGAGGGGGCCCCCAATAAAATGCACTAAACTGCTGCAGTCTGCCCCCTACTGACATGTCTACAACATGCACCTTCACCCGTCCTGTCAAATATCCCCCATCCTGTCTGTCCTTAACAGCCTTTGGATGTTTCTCTGCATTTAACTTCCTTTATTTCTTTTTTCTCCTCCTTTTATGTCTGCGATATTTTCTTGATGATGCTGTGAAAACTGAATGTGCATGCTCATTCATTCTGCAGTATTTCTCTCTTTTACCTCCCAGCCCTCTCTGTCTCTGTCTATGTTTCCTCCTCCTCTTCCTCCAGCTCTCCTCCTCGGTAATCCTCTCTATGACCTCCTCCTGCTGACTTCCTGTCACATGACGTCAGGCTGGCTGCGTGGTAAGAGCTGAAAGGTGTGACTTCAGACATTTAAACACCTACCAGATACAGCAGACAAAACCAAGATGCAGTCTCAGTCGGGGTTTACTTGTGATCTCAAGGTTCACATTAGAGAGAAAGACAGAAATATTACAACCACGGGCAATCTTGGTTTCTATCATTCCGGTACTTTTGTGGATTTTTTTCAGCAGTTATTAACAATATTAAAGAGACAACAGGATATGAAGGAAAGAGAGATGCAACAAAGGTTCCCCAATGCTAAATTCATACAATGTTATCAGTATATATACAGTGTTATACAGTATTTCCTGTTACTAAGGCTCCGTAGGAAGCTGTGAATAAAATATAAATCATCATTCTTTATAAGAAATCACAGAGAAAAGAGACACAAGAAAAACAAAACAAACACCTCATTCTTCTTTTTCCAACAGCATGTGGAGGAGGCTACGCCGAGCCTGACGTCACCCAGTGCACTCCGCACCAGTGTTTCCATAGCAACGCGCCGCACTACGCTGAAACGGACATCGTGCGGTTGCAGGGCGTCACCGGCAGCAACATGTATGCCGTCCCTGCCCTCACCGTGGACTCTCTCACCAGAAAGGACATCTCTGCCGCCGAGTTCCCACGGCAACAGCTGATCTTCAGAGAGAAACTGGGGGAGGGGCAGTTTGGAGAGGTGAGCAGGGAGCGGGCAGAGCCACAGAAGAAGAGGGAGAAGAATTTAGAAAATGTATTGATGCGTGTATTTGATTCCTCTTAAAACACAGCGCTCTGTTGCCTCAATTTCTTCCAATCTGACTGGTATTTCTTAAATGAAAGGGAATTTGTATGTGTAGGAAAGTTGTTTGTCTCAGAAAAAGTAGCTTAAAAGTAGTCTACTAGCGTCCATGGTTATGTTTATACATACTTGTCTTCGGCAGGTCCACCTGTGTGAGGCCGAGGGACTCCCAGAATTCCTTGGGGAGGGGTCACCTCTCCCTGACAGGGATGGACGTTCGGTACTGGTGGCTGTTAAACAGCTGAGGGCCGATGCTACCAGCCAAGCCAGGTACACAACGTGTCTGTGTGTGTGACAGGGTTTTTATGTGTATTCATCTATGACCTTTGTTTCTTTAAAAGTTTCTCTACATTAACATTATGTTTAATACAGTGCATGCTGTATATTGAGTGAATGTGGCTATTGTTTAGGCTGCTGTGTAGCGACTAAATCAATCAGGTGTTTGATGGCCTCAGCAAACAAATGTTTTGGCAGAAATCCTCAACAGCTCATACCTACAAAACCGCAATTCAAAGCAGCTTTTTCAGTTGTTTGTTTTTCTTTCTTTTCCATTACTCCAGTAATGATGAAAAGACAGTCCAAAACAGAAAACCGAAAGTATCTCAAATTAAGTTGTCTGGCTAGACCTGAAATTGTGTCCTCTCCTCCCTGTCCATTTGTCTGTCCATCAGGAACGACTTCCTGAAGGAAATAAAGATCATGTCTCGTCTAAACGACCCCAACATCATCCGGCTGCTGTGCGTGTGCGTGTCTTCTGACCCGCTGTGCATGGTGACCGAATACATGGAGAACGGAGACCTCAACATGTTCCTTTCACAGCGGGAGATCGAGAGCACGCTGACACATGCCAACAACATCCCTTCAGTCAGGTTAATATGCGAACATGTTAATAGAGTCACACTTCATGCTCTCTGAACTTTTCAATCCATCAGGTTCATGTTGTTTTTAATGCAAACATAAGATGGATAAGACGATCCATGATTAGCACTATTTTACAGAAGAACAAAAGAACCTACATGAATTCTCAAGTCCTCCACTGTCACTTCCATTTTTTCACCAAACATGTCCTTCACCTCCTTCCTTTCCTCCCTCCCTCTAGTCTGTCCGACCTCCTCCACATGTCGGTGCAGATCTCGTCGGGGATGAAGTACCTGGCGTCTCTGAACTTTGTGCACCGCGACCTGGCCACCAGGAATTGCCTGCTGGACCGGCGCCTCACCATTAAGATTGCCGACTTTGGGATGAGCCGAAACCTGTACAGCAGTGACTACTACCGCATCCAGGGCCGGGCAGTGCTGCCCATACGATGGATGGCCTGGGAGAGCATCCTGCTGGTGAGGGAGGGCGAGGAGTTAACATAAGATGGGACTAAAGAAAGAAAGATAATACAAATAATTTACTTGTGGCAGGAGGCATTACTAGTAATAACATAACAGTAACAAGATTACGTTCCCCAGTAACTAGTAGGCTAATTAACTAATTACTAATAATATTACAGTTACACCCCCTTCAAAAAAAGAATTAGTTACAACCTTTTATTGTCATGTAATGTAATCATTTTTAATAATTGTATTTCTGTGACCCTGTGCCTCCTCTCCAGGGTAAGTTCACCACAGCCAGTGACGTGTGGGCGTTTGGTGTCACCCTGTGGGAGATCTTCACTCTGTGTAAGGAGCAGCCCTACAGTCTGCTGTCCGACGAACAGGTCATAGAGAACACTGGCGAGTTCTTCAGGAACCAGGGCAGACAGGTGAGACAAATCAAATGCAACCACAAAGGACAGAGTTCAGTACAATTCAGATGTGTCATTCATCCCAAATCAGCCAGTAGTTTTGAATCTGGGTGTGCCTGATTGAAGTTTATGATTAAAGTTAACTGGATGCAGGCTAGGGCTGCTTAACCTTTTTACACATCTACCATTACATTGAACTGGCTTATTACTCTCTGACAAACTCACAAAACTTAGCAAGCCACAGTTCCTCCACGTGGGGGAGCTGTTCAGTCATCGTTCAGTCAGCAACCAGTTTTACACATGCCATCAATCACACTTACAGCAATAATTGACAGGACTGGAAAGCAGAAAAATACTTTTATTCTACATAAAATGATGTATATTTTTTCAGACATATTTTAAAATTTTTCTCTTTTTTTATGAATTACTGGACAATTGTACCTCTTTATGCCTTTAAAATTGACTCATATAAAACATAAATTAACTCTCATTGGTTGATCTGGTCATAACTCATGCAGTATAACATGCTTCATTTTAGGGGTCATGTGCTAAAGCTTTGTCCGATTCCTCCTTACTATTTCTTTAACTCTCCTGTATTTCTCTACTAGATCTTCCTTTATGCCCCTCCACTCTGCCCACCTTCTCTCTTCGAGCTGATGATGCGTTGTTGGAGTCGCGACATACCCGACCGGCCCACCTTCGAGGGACTTTACCAAGCCCTTAGGCCACATGTCAACCAGTGAGCCAAGGCCACTGGGATGTATCACTCTGGCTTTCCTCAATAGGGGGTTTGTCCATCTCTGGACTCCTGTAAGATGACAGACTGACATGAGAAGACTGGAAATGCGTTACAAGAGTAAGTCGCTGTCAGAGAGAATGAAGAAACTGGCAGAGTTGTGGTCTGAAGGTTGGTTTGCTTTTGGCTCGATTCTGAGAGACGAGATGGAGATGGAAGGGGGAAAGGCTGGTCAACTCAGAGGAGAAACCTTTTGCGAAATCTAAACCTTGCAGTCTTTAGTGAACAAAGATTTCTATGCTTTTTAAAGATTTCTATCATTGCTGATTTCATAGTTTCATCCATCTCTTAAAAGCTCCTTTGACCAAAACGTCTTATCTGACCTTTTGACATATCTGTTTTTCATGTTGTTAAGGTGCCAACGGTGCTGTAAACTTCATTTTCTCCCTCACTTGGTCTTTTTAAAGATGCCATAAACTGGACAGCCTCTTCAGTCTTGGTAGTTTATTCTGTCCCTGTGGTTTTTATTATTATTGTAAAGCACTGTCTGTGTCTCTCAGTTATTCGTGTTCATATATTAACCCACACTGGAGCTAGGGCTAGGGTCAAATTGTAGTTTAGTTTTATTTTTAGATTTTTATTCTATTTTATTTTTCTTGTTTTACAGTATTTGACTTTCGTTGGTCTTTTTTGTTGATATGAATGTTGTTCAGCTGAGGTTCACATTACAGTGCCAAGAGGCTGCGTTAAAACCTGTGTGGTTCACTGACTAAAAATCAGTCAGTGGGTAACTGTGGGTAATTAAGAAAAGAATCTCGATTGGAGGCAGATTGAAACCAGATAAGAAGAAAAGGACTTTGTTGCTAAAGAGAAATAAAAAGTGTAAGTGATAAAACAGTCACATGGTTTTATCAAATTTAACTAATCTGCCTGAATGGACTTGGTCAAACATTATGCCATTATCATCTGCCAGTTGTTGGAAGCTTTTATTCAAAGTGCCTTACATTTGTAGCATGAGTGTTAACTGTGGGAATTAAGCCAACATGAACAACATGGGTACTGCTATCGGAGAGAGTAGTAATCTAATGCAAGAATTTAATTTCAAGGTATGACTTTAACTGTGTCTGTGTTTGTGCTGGGGCCTATAAAATGTATGTGTATGTGTGTTGGAGCCCATACGTCTGTAGGTGTATATTCCTTATCTCCATTAGTCCTTTTCTGCCTTGATGGAGCTAGTTGTAGTTTGGTCTCTTTTGTTTATGCTTCCAAAGATTAGCCAGCTAGCCATAAAGCATTAAGATTTGGAGTCAGTAATTTCATTACTAGAATACAACAACAATTAGAACAAGCCACACTGTTCAAAATTGAGATCGAAATAATTACCAAACAGAAATGGGGCCTTAGCATTTTGGCAAAGCAACAACTTGTTGTGTTGTAGGTAGGCTTGGCTCAGTTCTAAAGACAGTGTTATGTTAGACGAGGTTCGCTTAGGTTTAAGGATATATGCAAGCTAACTATCTTCATTGGTTTAACTATCTATCTAGCAAAGTACTTTTTATGTTAACTTTAAACCAGGTTTGGCTCCAGTCCCAAAAGGTTGGAGTTGTTGGCTGGCTTTCTGTGCAGCTAACTACACTATTGCCTAATTTGTCTTGTTTTGTCATTGCTCAGTTTGACAGTGTTGTGACAGTGATAAGATTGGGTCTGGTATGATTTTAAAGACATGCTACAGCAGGCAATCAGACCACATCGAAGTAAAATTTCAGCAAGTGGAGACAAGACAGAACACCTACATTTTGGGCCATGCATAGCAGAGCAGAACTACTGTGTTAGAATGGGACCCTCTGAGCTGAGGGCCAATGAGCCACTAGAGACTGAGAAGGATAAGCAGAAACACCTTGAACAGATGAAACCATGAGACAAGTCCCGCCTCTCACACCAAATACACTGCCATTAGAGGCTGCAGGGAACAGGTAAAAAGAGTTTTCTTTACAGAACTAACACAGGATAGATGCAGCACAGAACAAAATGAATAGAGGGCTGTGGACTTTACAGTGGCGACTTCTAGAAAACTTAACTAGGGATGTCCCAATTAAGTTATTTTGCCCACGATCTCGCTCCACGTAATGTTAAGAACCTGTCGAGACCAAGTTCTGATCCGACTTGTATTTTCCGAGATAATACAGTTGCACACAGTGTCCACTTCAAGTTCATTCAAGTTATTAAAATCAATCCACTGCATATGCTTGACAATTAAATAGCTCTGTAATGCATTAAAAAAAATTGTCAGCATCCAATTAATTGAATTAATTCAGTGGTTTACATTTGTTTGTTTGTTTACAAAATAACCAAGTAACAAAACTAAAAGAAGTCTTTATAAATAGCTCTTATCATTCAACTGTTTGCTGCATTGTAGTAATAGTAGAACACTCAAAAGGAGTAATATAATCACAACAAAACAAAGTAGCCAAACGAGGCATCGGTTGACGAGCAACTCCCGTGTTCTGAGCCTGTCCGTGACAAAAACAAGCACTTTCAGTGGATGTACTTTGATTGGCACAATTGCCCCAAGGATTACATTGTGGTCACAGCAGACAGGCTTTGTGGCTGCCACATTTTATGTCCCATTCTCTTTATGTTTTAGTCACTCAGTTATATGCACTACCTGGGTGCAATTTCAAATCTTATCCTCTCTAAAATGTAAAATGGCGCAAGTACAAATCACCATCACCTTCACAGGAAAGAGGGATGAAGACCAAATATGTTAAATTTGTTGTTAAGTGTTTTTGGTGTTACAGTAGTGTTTTGTTATCTGTACTGTATCTTAACACTTCTATGAGTGTGTATGTGTGTGTTTAAGAGAAAATGAGTTTTGTGAATGAGTGTTTTTAACATTCCTTTGAGCACCGGGAGCTAGTTGGGATTAAAGTGGTTAACCAGATTTGCTCTGTTGTGCCAAATTATGTGATTAAAGGGGGGGGGCGATTTTTTATATTTTTTTTAAGCAAGAAGAAAAGGACAGAAAGTAAGGAAACCACTAAACTCAATCTTCCAGAGTGCTTTGCTACAGTGAGCCTGTGTTTTTTGTTCTGGTTCCATTAGAGAGATAGACAAGACTTTTAGTTTGATAGTGTACAGTATAAGTGATCTATAATATCTCAGTGTGTGAATGCAGATTAGGTGTGATAATTGTTATTGATAATTGGTTATCTATCAGAATTTATAGTAGCTATTTCTCTGATTATTTCTATTCTGGGAAGGTGTTGGTTTTTTTTCTTTTGTTTCCAACAGGAATGCAGCAGTTTTGAACATTTCTAACAGAGATGTCCTGTTTCAGACATGTATTGTACATAGGCTAGTAGCTGTGTATATTAATATATTGGGAGTTGGGAACTTTGTGTTCTGTCGTCCCAAGTAATTTTCATTCTGTACCCTCTCATGTCTTGGTTTGATTTTCTTATAATAAACAGTCAACTTTGTCAAACAGAAGAGTAGATACTGTGTTTATTTTCTATATCAAAGAAAAAAAACAATTTATATATATTTATATATTCATCTTGTAGGTCCGCATACTGAGTTGTTGCAACTGAATTGTTGTCATTGCTTAAATCTAAAGAACTTTACCCAGAAGGATCCCAACGTTTCCAGAGATACTAAATATGTCTCTGAAAATGTGTGTAACATGATCTAGACATGAGAATATTTCTATTTAATGACATGATATGGTCATAAAAACATGTCTTTGGGATACAGATGTTCTTTAGAATTGGGTCAAAATTTTACCTCAAAATGAATTTGTGGGAGTTTTTATAATCTTCATTGTGACAGTGAAAACCACATGATGAGTGATCTTACTTCCTTCTATTCCAGCTTCAACCTCTGCAACTCACTGCATCTGGATGAAAGAATCAGTACAATTTAGAAAATGTACATCCAGTGATATCAACTGTTCATGTGTCAGCAGGGGGCGGCAGAGAGGCTGAAACTTCTCCCTAAACTCTGAATCCTGCAGAAAACATCCACCCTATGGCACAATTCATGTGATTAATTTACTTATGAACTAAGTAACACCTCGGGCAGCTAAATCCAACAATAAGACTGATTATAGAACCTCAAGTGGTACTGAAGGAATGCCAGACCAATTTTATACTCTGATAAACATTCTAACAGCTCATTTGAAGTTGGAGCCTGTTTGGGCATTCACATAGAGGCTTCAGTTAGTTAGCAGCATGAACTCTGAAGGTCTCAGCAAACAAAACACTGTGAATTTTGCTTTAGGGTGGAATTTTTTTCCTTTTTCCAGGATAAACAATGGCTTAAGTGTTCCAGTTTAATAACTGGGTTCATGGTGTGTAGGAATGTTTTTGTTACCCAAGACACTGGTAATAAAACTTTACAGCCAGTAAATAGGGTTACAATTAGTACTTTGCATTGATTAAAGCTGAATTAATATGTCTTTATTAAGGTCAAGCAGAGGGTGCAGAAGAACTCCAAATCAAGCTGACAAGTACACAGGTTAACATGTTAGCAACCATCTGCCTACTTCCACATCAGGCAGACACAGCGCCATGATAATCCCACTGGAGGGTGTGTGTCCAGCCGATGAATCTGAGTCTGGTATATACTTTTCTCTTTAGTTTTGGTTTGGTCTCTACCATTTCCTGAGAAAAAGATAGTGCTTTAGCAGCTCAATGTTCCACTTTCTTCAACAGCTAGTCTCTAACTGCATCTATCTGCTGTTTGGTGCCGAGCAGCTTTTTTGTGAAGCACGGTTTTAAATGAATAGATTATCATTAGTATTATTATTACAGTTATTATCACAGGGTTTGTTGTCAACTCTGAAGCAAACAGAAAATGTTCTGCAAAAAAAACTAGGAGCTACAAGAGGCTAAAAAGCTCTATAGAACTGCAGAGTTAATGGCACTTCACATTACACACTGCTTAAGAAAGCATAATCAGTGATTATCAATCAATCAAATCAAGCCCTCTTACACATCTTTATTTCAGCCCTGCAAACTTCTGTCCAGACCTATTGATTGATCTCAAACTACCAGTAACCTATGTGGACTTTGTTAAATGAATATACAACCTGAAAGATAAACACAAATCTTGTGCATCTTACTTTTACATGAAAATACCATCATTCTCAATAAAGCAGCAATGGCAGATATCTCCGACAGTTTTGTCTTGCTTGGACATCGTCTTTCTCTTTTGAAAAGAAGGAATAAGTTACTGTATGAATTGGATAATGATGGTAAGGTGTTACAAAATGTATGCAGCTGCTCTTCACCCTTGTAAGAAACCAAACTCACTGTAATTGTCCTTGGCGGAAGCAAAGCTAAATCTGACAGAGAAAGAAACCAAAAGCAGAGGTTTGTTTGCAGACGTGGGCTTAGTGACCGCAGCTTTCATAAGGGTGGTTCAACAGTCATTCAGGGCCAAAAGGCAAGTTCTTCAGGGAGATAAACAATGGTCCAGGTTTCATTTTGATAGAAATTTAAAAAAAAGATGTTTAATGTTGCCAAAGCCCTCTGCAGCTTCCGGTATGAGAAATAAATAACTCTAGTTTGGTCTAAAAATAAGTCTCAACACAAGGAGTTTTGGACAGACGTGTAACGGTTTACACAACACTGGGCAAGGTGACAGCAGCTTTCATAAGTGTTTTTTCAGTGGCGTGATGATGCTACAGTAGGCCCAGCCAAACCCAACCTGACTGTAATTGTTGGTGCTGCTCTGCTCCCTACTGTCCTCCTGAAAGTGAGAGGAGGTTTGGTCAAGATGAGGATTATTTTTATCCCTTATTGTGTGAACTCTGTCACGTCCACAAATGCATTCAGAGCAGTGTTAAAGTTCAAGTTTTTCTGCCCATTTTTGGACGTATGACTTTCCTGGCTTTTTATTAGTGTTTATTAATGACAAAAATATTAAGTAAGCACAAAACATATATTAGCAGTGATTAACCACCAAGTCCAGAGGTGAGTTGAGAACTAAGTGCATGAAGGGACACATGTTTGTATTTTCAGAAACAGTTTTTCAGAGCAGTGTCTTGATGACAGTGCTTTCATTTAGTGAACTGGTTTAGGGGATGGTTATTCATTTGGTTTTAATAAAAACTCATCACTGAACATCTTCACTTCTCAACTCACTAAAATATATCTTTTGTCATTAATATGATAGAAATAAATGGAAAACAGGTCCAATTGCAGTAGTAGCTTACTGTATTGAGGAATAAAGTTGTTTTACCATGGCATAAATGTATATGATAGTTAGCATACATTTATGTCATTATGTATGTATGACGGGGTGGCCTTTATACATGTAAAGTGTGATTTTGTTCTGGCAGCTACCCTTACTGACTTCATTTTTAAGTTTCATTTTGTGATTTGTATTACTAACAACCGTAAGTTCTCATCAAAAAAAGTAAATTACATTAAATTAAAGTGCGTAATTTAAGCCTACTAGCTTTCACAGTCCATTTTGAATTTACTTCTTTAGGTCAACTCAGGTTTGATCATTTCAGACATTTTGAGCTCCATTTACACTGACGAATATTTGCATCATTTGTTATGACTCTCACTATTTTTGATTGTTGTGGGCCAGTAAAATTCCAGACATTTACTGTGGAACTAACATCCTTGAGCTGTGATGCATTGCACAGGTTATTTTGATGTTTACAGCCTTTTGTTTTGACATATTTGAAAACATTTTAATTAATGTTAACTTTTTCCTCAAAATACACAAATTATTAAATTTTAAATTTAAAAAACCTGGCTGCACCTAGGCCCATCCCTAAGACACAGACTTTGGGAACCATTGTTGTAAAAACTGTTTAAAACTACTTTTCCCCTTTGTTTCCAGCTTATCTTGTAGTCATTTTTGCTATGCAGGTCCTTAGCAGCCATCACAGCTCCACCGATATAGTAAAACATAAGCACAGGAGCAACTGAAGGTGTAATATGGATATTTCCAGGAAGTTGTATGTTAAGACATACTGTATTATATGATTGAAAGTAAGAGTATTTTGGAAGAATACAATGGGACCAAGGACAGAGCCCTTTGGAACACCTCACGGTAAGTATTTTGAGTGAGGAGGAGGATACATTAACTATTGATATAGAGAGTGTCATATTGGACAGAAGTTAATCCGAAAAAAAGGGTTCTCTAATATTTAAACTGAATGGCTACAGCACAGTTAAGCTCTTAAATCTGACACAGCTTTGCTCTCACTGTTGAACCACACAGGGCATAACAGTTACCAACGAATTAAAAGCAACACCCCTATCGTTCATCTGTAAATTATACATCAGCTCATAATACATAAAGATAAACTGAGGAATGCTTTGAGACCTGTTTACATCTTGATCCATAGATGAAAGATTTGCGTTCGGACACATGAGCCATGTGGTCATTTATGCAATGCTTTTTTACTTGGCTGTAGGTAAACGTAGTAAATGCCATTTTAAGACTCCATTTTAATTCTTATTTTGCCAAAAGGAAATTTCTCTTGATAACTTCAGAAAATTACTTCATAATTCAAAAGCCAGGAGGAAATGGGGTAAATTATTGCTGAATGAAGCTTAATAAACTTTTAATGGTTCCACATTGGGAAATTTGGACAGTGCAGTATTTAAAAAAAGCTAATAAAAAAAGGAAAAGCTCAAACACCTGCAAATAATAATCCAACATTTAGCTCTCTGCTTTAATGATTCCCCTTTCTTAACAATTAATTTAATTTGTAACGTTATAAACAAAATCAGCTTGTAATGAGTTGCTCAGGTGATAAGAAGTAGACCCAGTTTTTATTAACAAACTGACTATTATGTGTATAATATGTATATGTATATTTTGTCATAATGTCTTGTAATATGTTTGGCTGTGTTAAAAAGGTCTTCTCATTTCAGGTGTTAATTGATAATTGTAACAGCTCTTTCACTTGTGGAGACTGTGCTCCATTTGGTTGTGCCAGCATGCAGTTTTTTACACAGTGGCAAGGGTGGGCAAACGGTGGAGTTCAGTAGGTATAATATTTAATCTCTATCAGATAATAAACAGAAGCAGGTGGGGAAGATGCTGTGATAAACTCACACCTTTTCATACCCTTCAAGTGTTCACAAAGACACAACAGAACCTTTTCATTCCCAGCCACAATAAATCATGTGAAATCTTTTTTATTAGTTTGTATCATTTATGATGGTGACGTTGGTATATGTGGCATTTTCACGTTTTTGTCCTGCAGATGGTTTTTGGAGTGTTTTATGCCCTGATGAAGGTCTGCTTGAATGCAAGCCAAAACTGTCAAGTGGGTGAGTCGGAGGCAACAAGGGAAGGACCCAAATGCAGATAGTCCAGGCAGATAGGATGGGTTCGTTGACTTAAAGATGAAAATTACAAAGTTTACTGGCATGAGTAGCAAGTCTGAACAGGATTAACTGAGGGTGCACGGTAGAAACAAAAAGTTAATCTGAAAGTTAATTGCAACTTTAGACCTGGAGCACAGAGCCATCCAGCTGGTTTTGAGGAACTGGTTTCCATCATCACAACAACCTCTGATCACATTTGACAAATTAGGTAAGCTGGTGACAGGTGAGGATGTCTTATACATTAAAGCAAAGGTGAAAAAGAAACTGGATAGTAAATCTAGTAAAGCTATTTAATGTGTAATGATTGGACAGAAATGAGCACCAAACACAAGCACCAACTACAGAAGAAAACTCGCAACCCCGCCCACACCGTTTGTGTCTGGAAAGTACAGTGAAACAGCACAGAAATATGAGCCACCTCTCTCTGATCTTTAAATGAAAGTGTGTGGATCCGTCCTCTAGCTGTTGGGAACCTCAGAATCGGAGGTCAGGGGTCAGCTGGCTCATGTGGAATCAGGTTCTGTCTTGGTTTAAGGTACTTTTTATTGATCCTGGCTTCTATTAGCTGCTCTTAGAGCTGCTTTACAAGCAGATCAGCAGGAATAAGCGGTTCTCACTGACTGATGGCTGAATGGATGGATGGATGGGGTGACTAGTCATGTACCCATTAAAAAGTTCTAAGCAAATAAATGATACAGATGGGTTACATGCTCCAAGGGCCCCTGTCTCGACTGAAACCGTAGACTTTCCACAGACAGAAAGTTACGTTTTCACCATAGACCCACAGGTGATTTTACTTATTGTGGTTGATTTATTAAAGGCAGGGCCTTTAATAAATGACAGGCAAGGACAATCGCTTAAAAACCATCTGGAAAAGCTATAGCGACTTCTGCTAAACCCCCAGCAACCACCCTACTTCTAGCAACTGGCCAGAAAGCCATAGCAACCACTTTTACCAAAAATTGTAGCAGACCACTTGACAAATAGCTAAGTCCTACATGAGAAACACCACCAGTATATCAGCACCTACTTAGCAGCCACCTATACCCATCCCAAATCTCATTTTATGTCACAACACATAGCTGATGTATACGCAACCAGTTAGCAACAATTCATCCCTGGGGAATACACAAAGTTCAGACACACTTAATATATTCATTTAAATGTCTGGATTTGAAATATTGGGCTGGAGGCAGGGAGCAATCTGGCATTGCTCCATCAAAAGTGAAAATCTACAATCTCCAACAACTTCAAAGCTGTCTGATTTACATGTTGTATCTTCTTTAGTTTATGAGCCTGTCTCTCTGCTGCTTCTGATTCAAGGACCAGTCTTTAAATTTGATATGGAAGGGTGGAATTGCAGCTCGCTATCTAACTTTTAACTATGCATACTGTAGTTTAACACATGGTTGAATTTAAGTTGAGTCACGTGCCTCACGTGTCTAATTTGCTGAATGCAGGTGTGACGTTCACCAACATCACTGCAACAAGTCTTTAACACCTTTTTATAGGCCGGGCTGTGGAGGGTTTTTGTGTCGTACTCAACAAACATAAATTCATTCACTCACAATGTTGCTGACATCGTCTCTCAGACTCATATATATTAAAAATCTCTTCTTTCTTACATTGTCTTCCACACACAGACACACACACACACACACACACACACACAGACACACAAAAGGTTATGATGATGATGTTGGTGCTGATGAAGGCCAGTGCTATTGTTTCTGGTGTTTCCATGGCTCTTTATGTGTCCTGTGTGCAGGAGGCCCCTCCAGGCAGCCAGCCCTCATTATGAAGCTGTATAATTCGCTCAGATCAGGCCGACACCTGCTTCTCATTGGAGACAGCAGCTGCCGCCTTGTATACCTGAAAGGGAACTGCAGAGCGCTGCGATAAAGTTAGCCTGCCTTTGATCTTTACACAAATGTCATAATAAAGGAGCTCTTGTTCAGCTTGATCACTTTTTCCTTAAATATAAAGATTCAACTACGCACACGTGTTGCTGCTGCAGGTTAGCTGCGTGGCTACCTACTGCTAATGGAGGTAACATTCACATTTCTCCTGCTACAGAGAACCCCAATGTAACCAGATGTAACCCTAGGCTGAAATCAATCTGAAGGATTCAGCAGTATATACATTCCTATTACAGTCAGCTTTTTTTTTTTTTTTTTTTTATTATCCTCATAACTACAGATATATGTTCTTAAAGGGTATTAGAAAACCATGAATTAAAAATACCTAAACTCAATTACAGATTAATATCTGTAGTTACAAATAAAAAGGTGGCAATCACCACAACCAAGTAAGTGTTTTAAGCTGAAGTTCCGTGAATGGCCACTAGATGGAGAAACTCTCACTGTATAATGAGAATATCCCCAAGTTCTCTCTGGAAATACAAAGTCAGAAAGCGTTAGTGTCTCATAGGCTAATTTCACTTTCTCTGTGAAAGAATTGTTCAGCAATTTTTCAGTTTATAATTTTTCTTCTGTGGAAAAACAAAGCACAGAACTACTGGCGAATTAATATTCTTTTAAATTCGACCAAGCCAATGGCGAAGGTGTTGGATTAGGACGACTCAAATGAGGATAATTACACTTCATTCATTTGAGGGGACTATTTTACATATTTAACACACAAAGTGGTATGATTTGAAATTTTGAGGGCAAGAATTACTATTCATAACAAAATATCTTCACCCTGACATCTACCATGCTCCATCATTTTCCGAGATTTTGCAGTAAACATAAAAATGTATTTTCCTCTGAGTTCGATATAAACATTGGCGGCTGAGTAGATGAAATTACACTCATCATGGTGGATGAAGCAGCTGATAGTTAGCAGATGCTCTGGCGGTTCCTCCGGAGGGAAATGAACAGGTTAATTACAGAACTGTACATTAAGCAACAGAACTACAAGCAAACTGTAAACATGCTCAGGGTTCAAACGAGGGCTCACAGACAGCGTGCTGTTTTTCTTCTCATGCACAGCGGTGCTTTGAGCTAATTGCTAATGTCAACATGCTAACATCCTCACAATGATAATGCTATGATGCTGTTGTTTAGCAGGTTTACCGTGTCCACCGTCTTAGTTTAGCATGTTAGCAAGCAAACATTTGATGAGAATGCCATTGTCATTGTCGGTATTTATTCATACACCAAAGTACTGATGTGGACAATTAAAATGTTGACCTTGGAGGATCAACAATGTCAGTAAGACTGATTCATCCTCTGGGGACCATGAATGTCTGAACCAAGTTTCATGGTAATTCCTTCAGTAGTAGTTGAGATATTAAATCACTGAGACTCATTTGAAGTGACTGATATGTGAATATAACCTGTGCAAAGTAGGCCTGTTTATGCATTAAAGGGAAACTGATTCTGTGTGTGTGTGTGTGTGTGTGTGTGTGTGTGTGTGTGTGTGTGTGAGAGAGAGAGAGAGAGAGAGAGAGAGAGAGAGAGAGAGAGAGAGAGAGACGTGCAGCATGTGGGTGGCTGGTTGTGCGTTTTACAGTGTTCTGAGAAGAGGAAACTTCTCAGTTGGTAAGTGCTTCAATTTCAGCTTTTTTTAAAGCATCCTGAGTGCTCAGCGGGGGACAGGGGGCGTCATTTCTCCAATAAAACCAAACAAAAGCATCTTGAATGTACTGTACAGTACCTCTGAACAAGGTTCCACGTATATGTACAGTAGCTACAGACGCCTACAGGTTTTAATACCCTAAACCTGACAGATACCCATGAAAAATTAAACATGTTTCTATCTTTTGGCCAGTGTTGAACACTAAAACAATTAAAGCAGATAAAAAAATTATGATCTTAGAACAGTTACATGCAGAACAGGTAATAACCTGAAAGAACTGGAACATATTGAGTCTATCCATACTGATATCCAGTGTGACTTACATTTTATCTTCAGTTCTCACTGTAAAATTAGAGAGCAGCTCTGGCCACAGAGATAATTAGACTGAGACAGTTATGAGGCCAAAGCATCATTCTAACTACACCCTATCCTGTGGAGAGAAAACAATGGGTCAGAACTTACTTTAAAAATAAAAAAGCTGCTTAAGCTGCAGTCTTCTCGCCTGATTTTAAGGTACAATAGCAAGAAATCCTTGATCAGCCTGTTCTATGATTTCCTTCCATATGATCAGCTGTTGGTTTCAGTTCTTTTGCAAGAAAATCAGTTTGCAGAGATATAAACCTTTCTGCAGATAGATAATTCTTTATCATTGTGTATTGTGAAACCTTTCCATGATGGTGCATTTAAGGACACTGACTTTTTAAATGAAGGGAACACCTCACAGGACTTCTGGGTACTGAAGTTCATACTTTCCAAACAGTCGCCTGTAACAAAGCTGGTGTTCCTATGCTGGTTTGGCTGAAATGTAGTGTAATTGTGTAAGGCCTGAAAAACACAAACTAAAGGCCTCAACAACAAAAAAGTTCCAACTCTCTCTCTCTCTCTCTCTCTCTCTCTCTCTCTCTCTCTCTCTCCTCCCTCCCTCCCTCTCACTCTCTCTCTCTCTCTCTCGCTCTCTCTCAGTAGTAGTTGCTGAGCTGCAACACTTGAGAGAAACTCTTCAGATCAGCAGCTGCGTGTGTGGGAAGAAGAAAATAGCTTCTTTTTTCGTAGATGATTATAAACGGAATAATTTATTTTGAATCATGAAGGAACTCTCCCCTGACGCCGTGTTGCTGTCTTTTGCACATTTATGTTTCCTCTGTAGTTTTATGGACGGGGTTTTCGCTCAGGAGGCTGCAGGTGATGATGATGCGCTCCGGCGAGGGTTGACATGGCAACATAACGGGCAGGTTTTTAGCATCCTGAGCCGCGGATCCCAGTACCGGCCGTCCGACAGGAGGCAGGCCGGGTCACCCAACCGCGGCAACCCTGTGGTCGTGGTCAGCAGCGGTAACGACACGGTTCCCGCCGCGTCCCGGGGCTCCCCGCGTGTCCCCGCAGCCAGTAGCGCTGCGCAATTGCGCGCGATGACGCGCCAGCAGCAGCGCCCGCCGCCGGGCAGCGACAGAGACTCTGCACCGGTCAGACGGGAGGACATGATGGTCGGAGACGATCCGTATGACCCGTACAAGGCTTCTAACTATAATCCCTATTATAACTACTACAACTCGTACCACAGACCCAGACCCAGGACTCAGCCCCGGCACGGATACGGCACCAGCTACCACCAGAACGGTACGATAACAAGCCTTTACACTTGTCGTATGTCGTTTCAGATATTTCCAGCTCCCATCGTCTGATCAGTTCAATCCAAATAATGTTCAGTAAAAAGTTCTCTTCAACAAAGGTGTTCAAACTGTGTTTATAGTTTATCCTCCATTAAACTGTAAAACGTCATGGAGGCCTGGTGTCTAAATGCCAGTGTTTATAGGATAATTATTCCTGTAGCTCAATAATCTCTTTCATGTCCATATACAGGAAGGATTTTAATTATAGGCCTATTTCATTTTGATAATTTGAAAAGGTAAATCCAACTTTACTGTAACTATATTAAATAAAGCACTTCCAGTTTTTAATGTGATAATTTGCCGCTAGGACTTTAGTTTAAAGGGTTATTCCACTGAATTTCACCTTTACATGCTGGGGAAGGATTTTCTCACAACTTCAGCTCAGGGCAAAGTCACATTGTACCACAAGTACTGGATGGGAAATCAAATGAATCCTTCAAACAATCTTTTTAAAGAACTAAAGTTCTTACTGTTCACAGACGTCTTAAGAAACAACTTATCTGACTCGCAAACCAAGACAAATGGCTGTGATACACCAGGCTGAAATGAACTAAGGCCAGCTGGTGCACAGTGGTGAAAAAAGTATTCATATCCTTTCCCTAGGTTAAAGTACTAATACCACCATGTGTAAATACTCCACTGCCTTCAACCTCAAACTTACTTGAGTATGCAAAATGTACTTAAGTATCAAAATACAATGACAATTGTAATCTAAAAGTAGTAACTAAAACTGTCAGACAAATGTAAAAGTACAGTTTAGTATGAAGTTGTATAAAATAGAAAGAAATACAGTACAGTACTTAGTACTTAGTAAACTTACTTAATTATGTTTTGTCACCACTTGTCTTCTGTAAAAAGTAAATTTTACTGCAAAGAGTGAGAAATATCTCTCCAGACCTATAGAGAGCAGTATTCTGTATTTATACATGCTGTAATCTGAATGTGTTCTGCGTTCTTGTCCTGTTCGCAGGTCTCCCTGATCTGGTTCCTGATCCATACTACATCCAGATCGCCACCTACGTCCAGAGGATGCCCATGTACAACCTCCGCTGTGCTGCTGAGGAGAACTGCCTCGCCTCGTAAGATAACACTAGCCTGCAATGACACACCTGAATTACCGCCCACATCTCAGATTTGTGCAGTAATTAATCTAAATAGAATGATTCAATCAAACATAAAGGCAGCAACAGGACAACACTGTAGAGTAGACCCTTTTTTGTGTTGATTTCAAGATGTTAAGAGATGTTAAGATGTAATGTTAACCATGCATACTACATCTGCGGTGTGATGTCGTGGTCGCAGCATAGTACATAAAATAAGCGCAGCATCAGATAGGTTGGACCACCGTCTTTAAATATTAAACAACAAAAACAAATTTTATCTATGCAATAAAAGTTAACTGTCAGTTGTCTACTCAGAAGTGACTGTCCTTAGTGTGACTTCAATGTGATTCAGGCTATGGACGTTTCCCTTTAACTGAATGTGGTTGTCATTTTTTGTTTTTTATATAACTTTAATATATTTGTCCATCTCCTCTTATCACCCCGCATCGTCTCTCCTCTCCTCTTCTCTCCTCTCCTTTCCTTTCCTCTCCTGTCCTCCTCCAGTTCCTCCAGTTATACTCAGGATTATGACACCAGAGTTTTGTTGAGGTTCCCTCAGAGGGTGAAGAACCAGGGAACAGCTGACTTCCTGCCCAGTAAACCTCGATATGCCTGGGAGTGGCACAGCTGTCATAAGTAGGTAACTAGTAGGAGCATTTGGAGTTTAACACGTACAGTATATATGAGCTGGTTTCTAAACTTTCTGTCTCCATTGTGCTATTGTTGTTCAGTCACTTCCACAGCATGGACGAGTTCAGCCTGTACGAGCTGCTGGACTCCCAGACTCAGAGGCAGGTAGCTGAGGGTCACAAGGCAAGCTTTTGTCTGGAGGACACTTCCTGTGATCCGGGATACTACCGCCGCTTCGCCTGCACCTCACACACTCAGGTACATACAAACACACATGCACATCCACACTAGTCTTCTTTTTTCATTTGGAGATATTTTATTAACCTGCATTATTTTCCCGGATGCTTATCAACCCACACAATGGATACAGAAACTGTTGTGGACGAGGGCACCTAAACAAAAAATTGGGGAACATCCGTTTTGTCCCCCTTAGACATGTTAACCTCTAAACAGCTAGGTAAAATTTAGGTTCCCAAATATGACGCACAAACTCACACACAAGGGAAGGAAGAAGAGATTTTCTGCTCTTTTTGGTAGTTTCACATTTTATAAGGCATCATGTTTTAGAAGTTCTTCATATGGTACTGTAATAAATAATCATGTAAACATTTAGATATTAAAATAGTCTCTGTACTTCAGTGTGTCAATTGCATTTTGTTTGTGTGTGTGTGTGTGTGTGTGTCTGTGTGTACAGGGTTTGAGTCCAGGTTGTTATGACACGTACAACGCTGACATTGACTGTCAGTGGATCGACATCACTGATGTCTCTCCTGGAAGATACATCCTCAAGGTGTGGAAGCCACTGAGAGTCTACTGGGAAGACTAACTGGCATTATATTTGGAGAGATACATCGTGTTTTCCTATTAGTATAAGCTTGGTATAACTCTATCTATATTTTCCTTATTACTCACTAGAGAACTCATCAGAGCACCAAATGTAGATTAATCCACCACTGAAAATAGTCCCCAACCAATTTCCTGCTGTTTGTGTAACATTTGACTTTTAAAAACTACAGTGACCAGCTGTTTTAGGGAATTACTGAGCCTTTTTTTTAAATAAAGGTAAAAGATTGATGTGTTCAGTAGCAACTAATGGCCTTGGAGCTGAGAGCCACAGACAGGAATTCAGAGAGTACAGACAGACATTGTTGGTTTAAACGTCTACATCAAGAGACGTAAGCTCATGTACTGATGACTGTTGTGTGTGTTGTCCTCGTAGGTGACAGTAAATCCCAGGCAGCAGGTTCCAGAGTCCAACTTTAACAACAACGTGGTTCGTTGTGATGTCCAGTACACCGGCACCGCCGCTCACGTCTCTGGATGCACCATGACATCGTGAGAAACATTTTCTTCTTTATTGTAGGTTAACTATTTTTGCAACAGCGTTGATGAATCAGTTCAGCTTCACCTCAATTTATTTGGAAATGTAAGTATTTCTGAAGCTTATTATTTAGATTAAACAGTATGTTGGCCCCAAAGTAATCCTTCATAGCAAACAGAGCAATCCTACAAGTCAATTATATTCCAGTGATGTAACAACTTCAGGGGTCTATTCCCCAGAGAATTGCTGTAAATTAGTAGATTTTCAACCTGGAGACAACAGGACCTAAGATTACCTGTCAATATTTAATAATCAATACTTTGTATCAGTGGTTGATTTTGTTGTTCTTTTTGTTTCTTGCAGCTACTGAGATGAATTCTGCAGTTTGAGTTTGAAAAGAAGAATGAAGCTTGAAGTTACATGTGACTTAAATAATTCAATTATAACTGGATTAAAGCAAAAACTGATTATTAGCTGTAATAAAACAACTGAACCATTATTTTATTTTAATTTAGTCAAAATGAATGGATTATTAATCAGTTTAATTACAGAGTCAGGTATTCATGTCAGTAACAACACACCAGGATTAAGTAGCTTACATTTAGCCTGCTCCATTTCTGGACTTTAGTAAGTTGATAAGTTCTGGATGGTTGCACCATCTATTTATAGATCCAAGAGTTTGTGTGTCCTTTTTAAGATCTTAATCACCAGTTTCAAATTAGTGATTTTTTATTTATAAGTGAAGAAGTATGTGTGTTTCAGAGTTAGTAGCATTTATGAAGGTTAGAGTAAATGTCTGATTGCACAACTTTAGCGGCAAGGTTATTATTTTTGGTCATTTAGTGTAACATTGGCAGAATGTTCACAAATTTGAGGACGGGACAATATTTTTTCGTAAAATAGAATTTGAAAAACTTACCAGTGTATATTTAATAGTAAAAAGTATTTTGATCAACTGTCATCAAGACATATCCATATCACCCCTTAATAGAAGACATATATTTGCAAGCTATCGCTAGTTTTGTCAGTTCAATTACATGCAGCTACACAACAATTATTACAACTAATTCAGAACGAGTGAGACCAAATAATACGTTTGTGTGGTGCATTAACTGCTTTAATTTTATGATGCGTAGATAAAACATTTGCTTTCTAACTAAGTTATAGGCAACGTCTGATCTGAATAGGTGGTGCAACTGGACCCTGGTACTTGAGTAGTTCTAGAAAGGGAGATTTTCTACTTTTCCTCCACTACACTACTTTTTACTCTACATTTATCTGACAGCTCCTGGTTACATACGTTTTAAGTACTGTGCAGATTTACTCTTACATTAAATGTAAATAAAAAATGACCAAGAGGCTATTAGATAAGCAGTATTCTATTTTCCAAACAAGTACACAAAAGACCAAATGGCAGATAGAGCAGGGATAGCTTGTTAGTTATAAAGGTTTCAGTCTTTATGTTATAGTAGTTATATAGTTTTTTTTTTTTTTTGATCTACTTTTCTCATGGTCAGGGTAATGTTTTTTGTGATTTTGAGCAAGTTCTTGATCAACAAATACATTTTTTAATGCCAAGAAATCTATTTTATTGAGAAAACTGTTATTATTTTCTGATGAAGAGCTTACAAAACCACTTTCTTATGATCACAGAATAATAATTTTGCGATCACAGTTTCTTACATGCATGTTCTGCCTGGGCTCCTGTAGACTTTTATACAATATATGATATAACTGACATTTTAATGTTAATTTAATGCTCTTTATTTGTGAAATTGCACGATGACAGTTTCTGGGCATTTTCAGAGAAAGCAGCGTTTTAAACTTCCTGTAAGGTTTTTTTTTTCACTAATGGTGTTTTTCTGGTTTTTATTGGTGCTGTGGAATAGATCTTAGATTTTTGGTGCTAAAGGTGCTTTCTACTTTGTGCCGTTTTGTGTCCCCAAACTGAACCAAACCAAAAATATTCAGGGACAAAAAAAAAGGAAATCCTGCTGGAAGTCAGACTTGCAAATTAAAGTGTGTTTCTGTTGGTGAACACTGTATAGAGTGTATGTATACAGAGTACAGTGTGTGTACTTGTACTTGACAACCTGTAACCACACATACCTACAGAGCTGTGTATAGGCGAGCTCGCATTTTATCTTATCAACCTGCATTACTGCTTCATATCCCATTAATAAAGTTTGCTTGAATGTAAACACTGATGATATGTGTTGACTGCTAACAACCCACAGTGTATTTCCATCCACCAGTTTTTTATGTTAATGCTAACCTGTTTAAATCTGTGCATTAGCACCTGAGTGGAAACAAAATATTTGAAAAAGAATACATTTTTACAAATGTTGGCATGCATGTTGGATGATGGAAACATCTTAAAAACTTAAAAGATACATAAACACAATTTCCCCGCTTTGATTCCACTTAGAAAACCTTAAAGGTGTTTCAGTCTGCAAGTGTGGTGATCTGTCTCACTGCTACATAAAATGTATTTTTACCACACTGAACACATTTCTTGTTTTAAACAAGAAGTCAGACATGAAATTAAATCAGATTGTTGTTGAAGAGCATGATGTGCTCAGCCAACACCACTAGGTACCAATGACATTATATTTTTTTCACTAATCAGTTACAAGGATTTTGAAATAAACCCTTCTTTGTTGATACAGTAAATAAAACTGACATTGTGACAAAGACCCCTCAAAAGCATGAAATGTCTCCTCACTGAAACCTGAGAACAAAGACACAAATCCAAACATAAATTTGATCTGCGTTCCAAATGTAAAAAGGCACTTCCAGGAATGACACTGCGAATAAAAAAGTTTCATATGATTAGATTTTAATCAGTTAAAAACATACAGTTGCAAGATGTGTTATCAAACTATGCAGTTAGGTATATGATATACCATTTTCTAAATTGGGAAGTGTTTTATTTCACTGATACTGTTTATTGATGCTGTTAAACAATGCCCTGATCCAGTCCAGTAAGGCTCACCTGACAGCAACCCTCAGAAAAAAACATTTGTTGATTGCTATAAAAAGTAAAACCCAATTAATACATAGACATTTGAGACATAACACCATATCAGCCATGACATCAACTTGATTATACTTGATCATCATGGTGATGTGATGGTGAACCCATATGACAGCTGAAAAATACAGCACAGTCACACATTACTGTTGCAGTTTGAGACAGAACATCACACCAGCTGGCCATAACACCCCTAAGGGCTTTGGACATGTTGGGCATTCGAAGACACAAGGATAGAATAGGTTTGCCCTGAGATGCTAAAGGCTATGGATATTGTTAGGCAGTCTTGGTTGACATACTCTTGTCAAGGTCAAGTCCCAGTTCAAGACCAGCATGGACCACATAAACCATATGCTACTTGTTAAAGCTGAAGACTCTAACTAACTTTTTATTTTAAAAAAATAGCCTTTTGTCACAGTCTCTATATTCCTGACAGGAGTACATGAGGTAGATAATCTGTGGAAAAAATCAGGTTCCTCTGGCTCCTCCTAGTGCTCCTAATGGCTTTTGCAAGAATCCGGCACATCTGAATGGAAACAACCGGTCAGAGCCATGAGTCTTTAACTCTGTGCACACAGCACAAACTTAAACAGTCCAACTGTATGTAGCACATCATCGAATGCAGCATACACATTAATGCAGCAGTAATATGAATTAATAGTAAAACACTGACAGGGATCAGTTCACTGCAGAATAAGTCCATACAGCCGATAATACATAGTTTTACTTGAGTAAGGTTTTGAATGTAGTTCATAGTTGACTTTACTTTAGAAGAGGACCCGAATACTTCTGCCTGTCTCTGCCTCCCTTTTGTATTTCTTCCATCTCATTCACATTATGTAGATGTGTTGGACATTAATGAGAAGTCCAACTCTGCCCTCTGCTGTAAGGAAGCCAAACTATCATCACAAATGCTTCCTGTTCCCACAGAAATTATTTTACCCAAAATAAAAGAAGCTCACAGATGAAATTACATTTTTTTATTCATTTGTATTCTTTCTATTCAGTGGAGAGATGGGAATTGAATCTGAATTGAAATGCTGCTTATTGAGCTGAGTGATGAGACAGACTAACAGCAACAGTCTGCAGAGGTCCATGTAAGCTTGATCCTTCTATTAATGCAGATTGTCTGACAAGGGTCCAGTGAAAATGACGTTTCATCACTTAAATAAAACCCAAAGCCTGGTTCCGTCTGTTTCAGTGGTCCTATTTCTTGATTTCAGACCCCAGCTGGGAGGCTCACCATCAAATTAATGTACTGGGTCTTCCAAAATGGACGTCACTCATAGAAAGTCTGATAACAGGTCTCTCACAGTATATTTTTCTTACTGTCTGACTGTACAAATAACAAATATAGAAATGGTAAATATTGGAATAAGCAATAAAACATACATTTCTTATTATTTCTGATCACGAGTCAACTTTTGTTTTCCTCTTGTTTACACCGCTGCCTAGAAGATGATCAACAACACTGTTTTCTCCCTGGACTGGTAACCTCTGCTGAAAGACACACTGGGCTCCCTAATTGTAGTTTCAACTTTAAATTGAAACATCAACTCAGCACAATGAGCATTTTCAGATGTTTGTTGTCAAACAGTTCAAATAATATGGCTTACCAATAAAGAACTATTAAAAACCATCACACCAGCACTGCTGTACAAAATAAAACATGTTGGCCTGTAACTCTGTATTGATGTTGATGCAAAAATAGATGAATATATTTTATTACCCTAACAATCAAAGTGAAAATCAGCTTTAACTGTTTTAGAGAACAAGTACGACTTCACTAAAAGAAACTGAGCCTGTTTGAGCAGTGACAGTCTCAGAGTTCTCCACTAGATGACACTGTTGAGATCAAAATGAGCTGATGAATGTTAAACCGCAGTGGACAGAAGCAGAGCTACAGAGGCTGTTATTATGGAAACACAGAGGACATTTATAGACTCGTCTGTGGTACAACCTCTGTATTTTGTCCCTGACAGACTAAAAGTTATGTAACTGAATGTATGATGTCAAATGTCTGATTTTGGAGGATGAATCCAGCCCACTGAATCTAATGTTTAGATATGAATACAGTCAAATAAATAAAATATCAAGCACATAGTTCCCCGAATTAGGATAACTGTAACATTCTCTTTACCTGAGTCACGATTTAATAAGCCATGCCATATATGCAGAGTGGAAAGCTGTATTTCTACCACTTGTAACTAACTGCTTTCACTTCTCACTACAATTATTATTTTTACTATTATTATTATAATGATTATGGTTATTGGTGATCATGTTGATAAAGCAAATAGCTATTTAATCCAAACCCAAAGTTATCTTAAGTTTTCCAGGAGTTAATCAAGTAGGTTTGATTTTAATATATTAAAACAATCTAAGACATAAAATAGCAATTATAATTAATGGTGGTTTATTTTCAATCATTTTTATAATTTCCATTGTCCCAGCCAATTGTTGGCCCCCTAAAATATAAAACAGTGATTCAAAATGAAGATGTAACAATTTAAAATTAAATGAAGAAATATGTTTCCATCGGTGCATTTATTTCAGAATACATACATATTATAATGAAAATAAACCCTCCTCGGAGCACAAGTTTTATTGTAGTTTTTATTCTAAGGCTAACGGACCGATCTAACGGCTCCACTTCCTCTTCAGAGATCGTCTATTGAAGTGATGAGTCAGCAGGAACAACAAAGAAAAGAGGGAAATCTTTCAGTCTGAGACAGTGGGCGTGACACAGACAGTGAGTGTCACCTTCCACAGAGCAGGATAATAATACACATTGTTCAACAGGAGACTACGTGGTCAAAATAGGCTCATTACGATACCACAATGTGAATATAATGTGAAATAAATGTATGTTATTTTAACATAATATCATATTACTAGATTATTGTGACTGATGCATTAATGTGTTCACATACTGCTTTTATTATTTTATTTTATTTTTTTACCGCACCATAATGCATTTATCGACCTGCAAAAGGAACAACTTTAACAACTAAAGCTGTTAAATGTTGTGGAGTTTAAAATGGAAATACTCAAGTAAAGTAAAGACACCTCAGGACTGTGCAGTAATTGAGTAAATGCACTCGTTACATCCCACTGCCTTTGTACCTAATGGTCCACCATACTGCGCATATTACTAAACAGAAAGCACAACACATACACACATACACATAAAGCAACATTTGCACAGAATGTTAAAAGTGTAGTCCTTCCCTTCGTCCCATACGATTACTGTACTCAGAAATGTGCTCAGAGTGAGCCCTCCTCTCTCCCCCTCCTCTCTGTGCTGCCCATATGTCAAAGTCTTTGTGCTTTTCAAGACAGCGAGGCGACAGCAGGAAAAAAAACAGCTGGATCCAAGGATCGGTCCAGCTAGCGGTTCGGCTAGCTGTATCCTCTCCTCAAGCCAGCCGCTTCTCCTCGGCTGCCGGACTTCGACAAGGTACTGTATCGTGAAACTGCCCGTCAACCAGAAGAAACAGCTCTTTATCCCGGGCCCGGGTCCTTTTTTTTACCTGAGCTCTCTGTTTTGACCTAAATTCTCCAACTGCCTGGCTCGTCAGTTAGCTAGCTCCCACATTAGCCTCTGTGGATGCTGATTAGCGAGCTAGCTTAACGTTAGCTAATTAGCCTCCTGCTGCTTCATGAGCAGCGGGATTTAATGAGCTGTCAGCAACAAGGAGAGGATAAATCACATTCATTGGCTTTATTTGTTGAACAGAAATCGCGTAGCTTTACTGGCTACTGTCAGCCTGTTTGTTACTGACTGTGATCTGTTAACTCAAAGCACCAAGTCTTCTTGTTAATTAGAGGAAAAGAGTTGCACACATGTTGGTCTCAGATGGGATTTAATTTAACTTTCATCCGCCTGGGGCCATTTTTCTGTCAGTGCTTCCTCAACAAATGTAACGTTGTTCACATTTCTGTCCTTAAAACAGAAATTCTGAGTAGATATTCATCAAAATAACAGCCTGAGACACTGTGATGATTATATTTATATACACCATAAGTTAACACTGTCTGGCTGCTGTTTGCTGCTATTAATAATGAAGCATCCTGAATCAGTGCATATTCCTATCTGTATTACTGTCACTGCTCACTGTAAAGCTTTTGTTGAATTAGAAACTAAGAGCAAGGCCATGTAGTTGAAATCAACATCACAATATTAATACGAATGTTTTCTTTCATTTATTTATTATTTATCATGATGTGGCAAGTGCATAGGCAGTCCAATATAAAAGTTCAGTGTGGTCTATTGTGTCCTGCTATTGCGTTTTCCATCAGACAACACTACAAACATGCAAAACAAAACCTTTAAGGACAAACCGTGTTAGTTTTTACACATTATTGCATGTTGAAATATTAATTTGTGTGTGTGTATATATATATATATATATATATATATATATATATATATATATAATATATATATATATGATCAGGCTTTCCCACAGGAAATAGTTTGGCCAAGGTGGAAATTCACTCAAATCCTGCCTAATCATGATGGAAATGCCAGCCTATCAATAGTCACACTCCTAAAATATGTGGCTTTTATTGTGCCCTCCCTGTAGGTTATTGTTGTATTTCATAGATGTGTAATGTTTGTGAAGTTCAGCTCTCTGTCTGAGGTGATGTTGCTCTGAAAACAACACCGCCTAAAGCCACTAAATGGTTATTTAGAATGATCAGCTATCCTTCTAGACGTGACTATGAAGGTTTTACAAATACTTTATCATTTTGTAACCATCAAACTGAACATAAGGTCTCTTTATGCTGCTATACCCGTTTTACTTGGAAAAGTGGATTCAGATTAGGCCAAATGACAGTGAACCTACACATTATCTGACCAACACTAATGTGATTTCAACTGGCCACCGTTCAGTCTGCAGGTCTTATTGCCTGTGAGCTGGTTTCCATTCAGTCTGAATTACAGCCTCTAACTGGCTGATGGTGAGAATGGCATTATAGATGGTTGGGTTGGCGGAGAATATGGCTCAGAGAAAGTGAGGATGTTTTTGTTTGTTTATTTCAGCTGATAGCAGTATTTATAACTCTGTTTGCAATGCATGAGTCCAATGGTTATGATTATGTGTTATGTCTGCATACTGTACGGCTCTATTGGTACCTGACTTGGATTGTTACATCACATTCCCCCGGGGATCAATAAAGTATTTCTGATTCTGACTCATTTACATGTTTTATCTTGTTCGCTAACCAGATAGTCAGCTGGGTTTGCAGTTCAGACAGAACCTGGCAACCCCACTATGAGTTCAGGACTTTAGCGATGCGACGTGACTTTGATGTGGCTCAGCCAGCAGTTTCACCTGACCTCTGAGGGAAATGTGGAGAAACGTATATATATCTAATTCCATTGTGTAGAAACAGTAATCAAATCTCTTTGAAATTCCTCCTGAAAACTCCCATCCTTGTTTCCTGACTCTGCTCTCCTGGTTGTTTTTGTGTCTCGCTGCCTGGAAGGATTTGGACTTGTCAGCTGTTAGCATAAACAGAGAAAGCAGACGTCCTCCCCCTTTTTTGATTCAGTCTTATTTTTGATGTCGGGTTTCGGTCCTAAACTGTTGTTATCAAGGATGTTAGGCTCGACTGTTTCTCAAAGCTGCAATCAGAGGTTTTATTTTGACCAGTTTAGTTCTGTGGTCGCTCCCACACAGTCTGAAAACAACTCCACTCTTACATGAAAGCTCCACAGTTTGCTGTTTTCTGAACATCCTGTGACCATGTTTATTTCAAAACATAAAGAAACCTCTTAGACTGTATTTAATGTACAGGGAGTGGTGAACAAAACAGAAAGGCTTTACAATAAAGCCTGGAAAACAACGATTAACACCTCTGACCAAAACCAAACTATTGTTATTTTGATCACTTCTTGACACTGTATAAACACCATGGTCTTTCATTGATTACGGTAGGGGACTTCAGTGTCTTTAAGCAAGGCGCTGGACCTTTTTAATAACATAGTAGTGTTGCTGTGTAGCTGACCTCTGACCTCTCAGTGAAAGAGATGCAACCGACAAGTGAAGTCAGTGTCCACAGTGGCACACATACAGAAACTGATCATAAGCTTGAGAAGATGTGGACCCAGCTGCGGCAGATCTCAGGTCAGCACGCAGTTTGTTGCAGAGAACAAGACCAAAGTAACTAAAAGCCCCCTCAGCACATCTGGATCCCATTGTAGGTACACCACCTGATGATGTGAGCGGTCTGACGTGACTTTTTTCAGCAGCGGTTGCAGTTATAGTAGGTTCTTGTGATCCTCTTAGGGCTGCCACTAACAGTGATTTTCATCATCCATTAATGTGTATATTTCAGAAAAGAGTGAAAACAACCCAACATGACGTACTCGGATGTCTTGTTTTGTCTGACCAACAGCCAAAACCCAAAGATATTCAGTTTCTTATTATATCAAACAGAGGAAGGCTGCAGTTGGAGAAGATGTTTTCTTGATGAAACAACTGAAACAGTTGTTGCAGGTTCAATTAAATCTGTCGATTCATTGACAATGGCTGATAATGGATTATTGGGGCCAATACTGCTAACTATAATTGAGATGTAAAAAAAAAACAAAAAACATGATATTTGTTTTTTAACATGAAGACAACATGAACAACCATAGTTGATAAAGATACCTTCAATTTGTCTATAAAAGAAATGTGTCTGATCAGTACAAAGCTCAGTAGTCAGTTGTTTGTTTGGTGTTATTTGACATATTTGTTTAATAGTAGTGTCCATGAGCAGGGTGGTTTCTTGCTCCCGTGTTGGTTCAAGTTGCACCTTTAAATCCTTGTGCACGCTGCAAGTCACGCTGCTCTCTGATTAGTCCTGATTATCCTGCAGTTTGTTGCCTTTGATCACAACAGCTCGGGCAGTTTGTGAGCTTGACAGTTTGGGCTTTAAACCGTTTTTAAACCTCCAGTATTACCGTGCAGAAAAGGATTTGATTTTCTTCAGACACGTTTTTCATGAAGCCTTTTGTTCGTCGGTAAGAGTGAAAATCCCACTTAAAATTGAAGTCTGATTTGTTATTGCCACAGTTTCCTCTTTATTCACTGAGCAGCAGTTTGTCTTTTCAGTTTAAAAAAGGAAAGAAAACACTTTTGCACAAGTTTTCAGCAGGACTGGTCTCAGTTTCCTGCAGCCATTTCCTGTGTTTTATTCCTGCTGATCATATCACTACAACCTTAATACCCAAAAGTGCTTTTCTTTATCACATTTCTGGATATGATGCTGCTACATAGAAGGTGCAAACAAAGGCTATTATGGCGCCACTTTAAGGATTCAATGGTTACAGAAAATCAAAGTATCTGTGTTGATTGATCGCAGATTTTATTCATGTCAATTTTTCCCACAGCTTTGAAAAGTGGCTACACAATGTATATAATGATAATAATGTATGACGTGTGTTAATGTCTGCAGCTGGTTGTGAGGCTGATGATGTGGTGTGAAGATGGAGGCTCCTGAATACCTGGACCTGGATGAGATTGACTTCTCTGATGATTCAGTGGTCAGTATGATATAAACAAGTCAGCAATTGCTTCTTCTAACTTCTCCTGCCAAACTGATACTTACTCAGAGTCACTAAAAATGTCTCCACCTGCCTCAAGCTTACAGTCTCTCTCTACCTACAGCCCCCTGTGAACATACCTACAGCAATGTGTAAAAACAGCAGCGTAGTAGCTGCCTACACTTAAGAAACACCTACAACAACCTCCACATTACGTAGAACTATCAGAATAGGGTGCATCCTCCCAGTGTTCATTTTATTAGGTACACCCCCATAAAACCAATACAGTCTAGTACAACAGTCCTGTAACAAAACCCCACCTGGATAAAGAATATAATGTTCCGTTTTCTTGGCTCTGGCAAGTCTAATATTTTGTCCACCCCGTTTAAATCAACAAGGATAGAATCTTCTCCATATAAGACAGTATGATTCAACAGCAGCGCAAACTACAGCCTCCAAAATAGACATGATGTTGACTCAACATCTTTCTAAAACAGTTCGAACATGATGTTAGCTTTATTACCTTCATGAGGGATTTAGAGAGACTACATTAGAGTGTTCCATTACACATCTGTAAGCTACAGCTGCTTTTCTGCTTCATGTTACAATCTGTCTGTACTTAGAGCAACATCTACTGCAATTAACTAATATCTAAATATATCTGCTTTGCACAGCTGCTGAGCTGCTGTGTGCAATTTTCTCTCAATTTTCTCTCGATTATTTCTCTCTCTTTCTCATCCTGCAGTATTCTGTGACGTCTCTGAAGAGCATCCCAGAGTTGTCCAGGAGGAGTGATGGCCAGGCCGAGGAGAGACCAGGTAACTAAGTATTATAGAAGTATAGTTTGGATTCTTACTCTCTTCTTAACTAAAACTATGTAGTAGAGTCGCCTATACTGAGTGTACTGAAATTATTTTAAAAGTCATACTAGACCTCAGTAGTCCAGAATTTTACATCGTCCTACTTTTTATACATCTTAACTTCAACAAAGTCTATTTACCACGTACCTCTGATCTGATATTATCTCTCCTCCTCTTGCAGCTCCAGCCATCAACTGGAGTCGTGGCGTTTCCTCTCACAGCGGTGGGGGTATCAAACCCACTGGGCTTGCTGAGGTCCACAGTAAGTTCCGACCGGTGAAGAGGGTCTCCCCTCTGAAACACCAACCAGAGACCAACGACTCTGACTCTGATGGTAAAGTTCAGGGCCAGGGCCAGGGGCTGGGGCTGGGGGAGCCAGGGGAGGGCAGTAAGGATGACCCCAGCTCTGATAAAGCGACTCATGCCTCCACCTCCTCTGATGGCCCAGGAGGGAAGGCAAAGGGCATAGGCGGCAGCGTTGGTGTCGTTGGAGGGAACAACCCCCAGGCTCTGTTTGGGGAGCTAGAGCACTATGATCTGGACATGGACGAGATACTGGACGTGCCTTATATCAAGTCCAGTCAGCAGATGTCCACGCTGCCTCGCGTCCCCCACGACAAGCGCTCGGTGACGGGGAGCAACCTGGGCGGAGGCACCCTGGAGAGGAGTCGAGGAGGAGGGCTGAAGAGCTCCGCTTTACCCCACAACGAGCCTCTGAGCCTGGGAAGCAGCAGCTCACAGACTCCGGTACACACTGATCAACTTTAAAACAAATTCTTTAATACTGTTAATACTGTTTGTGAATCCATTTATGGTCCACAGAGCCCCCGAGGGTGTCCTAGTAGGAAGAAATGATATATGCATAGTTTAAAAAGGTAATTACTTTTTTTGCAAGACTTATCCGGCACTTAAAATAAACTTGAAATGGTAATTTGCAGAATGCAACCATTTTTTATTATTATACCAGCTAAATGAAGCACAGACAAATTAGGGATAAGATGCACATCAGAAGTCTCACAAGTATTTCTTCTCTTGTCGTGAGGTTTTGCCAGAAGTAGTTCACTAGTCCACTACTGTTGACTAGATACTAGCGTTGATGTTTTACACATTAACTGCTGTAAATGTGGTGATATTTGGTAAAATCCTCCTTCAGTAGTCAACAACTGCCTTCCAATTAAAAGGTCCAGTTTGTAACATATAGGAGGATCTGTTGGCAGAAATGGAATCTGATATTCATAGGTATTTTTATTTATAATCAGCTGAATATAGGACTTGTTGTGTTTTCGTTGCCTTCAGATGAATCATTTGTATCTACATATGCTACAGTACCAAGAACCAAACAGTAGATGGGGCCTTTCACAAGTTTCGTAGCCACCGTAGTTTCTCCTACACACTTCACAGCCTGTTCTCATTCCCAGGTCGTCAAATAGACAGACAGTTGGTTGCAATCGGCAACTTCACCACTAGATGCCGCTAAATCCTACACACTGATCCTTTAAGCAATAATCCAGTTTAAACCCTGTCCATTCAGATGACCGATACGAATACAGATCATTTAGTTGGTTGAACAGATACAGCTAATGGTGTACCCTCGCTCTAGTAATTGATGAGTTGTAATCTGTGTGTTTCCTGCAGTATTGTGTTCTGTCTCCGGTGAAGTGGTCAGACCTGAGAAAGTCCAAGTCGATGGATCCAGATCTCCATCACCTCCACCGCTCCCCAGCTGGAGGAGGCTACCAGTCAGAGTTGCTCTCCTCCGGACTCCTCAGCTGCTCATCCTCCATGTCTTCTTTCTCTGATGCAGGTACGACCTAAAAATACTGTCAGCTTTTCCTCTTCTGCGTTTTACCCTCTCTTGATGGACAAAAACATGGTTGTAACATTGCGTAAAGGTATGATATGATGTGATATGACTTCCAGACAAGCTGCTGTCTGCACGCGTCTACCCAGACTCCCAGACCCAGAGGCCAAGTGTGGAGCAACCAGGGGGCCCGGGGATGATGTTTCCCCTGCCAGGGTGCAGCATGGGCAGGCAGGACACTTCCAAGCCCTGGGCTCCTGGACCAGGAGGAGGAGGCGGAGGCAGCAGCGTGCCCAGGGCGTTTGGAGGAAGTGGAGGAGGACCTGGAGGGGAGGTGGACGAAGAGACCAAGAAAAACCAGAACATCATCAACATTGTTAGAGAGGGACAGATCTCCTTGCTGGTGAGTGGGAGACATTCTGACCAATGGAAGAGTAGGAAGCGGGCATATAACCTCTTATTCTTCTCTTTCTTACTTTATTTCTCTACCTCCTCCTCCTCCTCCTCCTTATCCTTCTCTTTTCCCTCCCTGCAGCCTCACCTGGCGGCAGATAACCTGGAGCTGATCAGAGATGAGGATGGGAACAACCTGCTACACATCTCGGCCTGTCAGGGTCACGCTGACTGTCTGCAGCATCTCACCTCTCTGATGGGAGAGGACAGCCTCAACGAACGCAACAACCAGCAGCTCACCCCTGCTGGTCTGGGAGTCAAGGTCAGTGCGTGTTGTGTGGGTCTGTATATGTGAATTTGAAAGTGTATGTTTACTGTGAAAACAGAGTGTTTACTTTAAGATTCAGTGTTGGGCAGACACATTTGAGCAGATATTGGCTTTTAATTAAGTTATTCCTTCAGTGTTGTCTCAGCAGATATGAAGCCGTTTAAATATTCATATTAAGTAGTGTCCCTGATTATTTAATTACTGTAGAACTGCTCACTAACACACTGTCTGGAGAAAACTGATAATGTGAACTAAAACATTTTTGTCTTTTTATTTTGTTAATTGGTCTGCCTCCGAAGAAAAACGCTGCTGCTCAGCGGCGCAGTGCACACACTGAGCGGAAGAATGAGTGAGAGGAAAAACAGCTGTAGAGCCACAATGTTTTCACATCTAACCGGGGTGAATTAAGGGTTTATTTAGACTAGCTTGACGACAGGGAATACAGTTACAGTGTGATTCACAGAGTCTCGAAACAAGACTCTAGCTCCGGGGAAGATGAGGACACAGGAGAGGGACAGGCCAGGAGAGGAGATGCGTGAAGCGGTAGGGGAGTGAGGGTGGTCGGGCATCAGAAAGGCGGTTGCAGCGCGTAGAGCCAGAATATTTTCTGATCTTACTCTGTTAGTTGGTTAGTCACCAGAGTTGGTGATTGCTGGAACAGTGGAACTAATAAAACTAATAAAGATAGTTTGGTCAGTTTGTTTTGTTTCTGTCGGGTTTGAATGAAGTGTGTTTTAAGATTGCTTAACAAGGTCTTAGTTCGGTATAAGTGAAAAAGTGGAATTCAGGAGCTGTACAGTTGTATTTTTTTATTTAATGAGGGAAATAGGTGTTTTCTTGGGAAAAGAAATGTCAAAAAAATTCTCCAGATCCCAATTAAGAGTGACCTTTGACCCCAACAGGCATCAACTTCGTACTAAAGTATTGATATAGTAAGAAATAGAGAACTGGGAAGCTGACATTGCCTCAGATAATCCTTGATCGTTCATTTAAAATGTAAATGTTGATTGTGCAGCTTCATCTTCAGCCATATTTTAGCTGTATATTTATTCTGCCTGATGATCGAATGTTTGCTGCTGTACAGCAAAATCAGCTTAATTTCCTCCATTTAGCTCCTGCAAGTCCTTTTAAAGGAAAAAACTCTATAAGCTAACAAGGACACTCAGACATTTGATTGGCTGTTGGCGGCTGGTCAATGAGGTCAAGAAATATTAAGATGGAGGCTTCTGACAAAATTATGTTAACCTTTAAATCAGCTCTGGCAGCAGCAGGATGTCCAAAATTTGTCCCTGGAATGAAACTGAGGAAAGTGAACATCATAAACACTGTGTTGCTCCTGTTTTGTTTGCCCTGCGGTGGAAACCAGGCTCTTGATTGGCTGCCAAACAGGAAGTGTGTTATCTAGAGACAAGCTGGGCAGCTGTGTCCTGATTGGCTCTTATCAACAAGCCTCTTGTTTGCTCACTTAGATTAATGGGATGACGGATTTCCAACCACCTGGTCCTTACTGAAACACGTTAACTGTGTGTGCGTGTGTGTGTGCGTGCGTGTGTGTGTTTTACAGAACGGTCATCTGGAGTGTGTGAGGTGGATGGTGAGTGAGACGGAGGCCATCGCAGAGCTGAGCTGCACCAGAGAGCATCCCAGTCTGATCCATTACGCTGCCCGCTATGGACAGGTAACACACAAATGCACACACTCATTCACATAAATACAAACACACCAACAAGTTAGGATATCCAGAATGACATCATCTAGAAATGTTGTAACCAAGGTACTGTCAGTTTTCAGTGATTGCAAAAAACATTTCCTCACCTATGCTTATCCCTACAATTTTATGATTTAGCAACTAAATTGTGTTTACGGATAGTTTGGAAAAATGCCAATACAGACTACTAGAAGAAGACAAGACACAAAGAAAGCCAGTGGTGTTGATGGTGTTTATGTCAAGACCTTGATATGTGTCGGAGGGTGTGGTGTGTAGATGGGGCAGTTTTAGGGGGACTCAACTGGTTATCTGTCAGTGATAAAGACATTTATTATGTTATTATGTTATTATGTTATGCTTTCATAGGGTCTAATGTGCAGGGAGGGCATGCATATATGTGTATGTCTGTGTTGAGGGAAAACTGGAGTGTGGTTGTTTCACTTGTTTAAAAAAAAGTCTCCCCCTCTCTCTCTGTCTGTCTCTCCAGGAGAAGGTCTTGTTGTGGTTGCTTCAGTTCATGCAGGAACAGGCAATCTCTCTGGACGAAGTCGATCAGAACGGAAACACTGCTGTCCACGTAGCAGCGCAGTACGGACACCTCACCTGTATACAGGTACATGACAGGACAGGATATGATTTTAAAGCCACATTAATATTACTATTTCAATATTTCAACAATGTCAATGTCAACATTAAAGCCCAATTACTCTTCTTTTTTGCTGCTGCTTTTCAGGAACATCCTGCTTCAGTTACTCTGCTCCTACTTATCATGACAAAACATTAATGTATTAGGAAATGTGTTTTCCAATCTGAAGCTCATTTTCCTACTTTTTTTTTATCCCTGGTAGGTGGTACTCCCTGCTGGAGGAGAGGGCGGATGTTATCAGTCTTGTCTGCTTCCTTTTGGCTAGCCAGGCCGACAATCAAAATACTGATTAAGCTAATGATCTGTAGATAAAATAGCAGCTTTTTCTCAGCAGTAGCCAAGTAATTCTGTACTGTGGGGGAGCATTTTACTACACAGAGGCAGAAGTACTAATAATAGAGCTACTACTGGAAATACATAATGTTTCTGTTTTGAATGCTGACTTAGAAACAAGCATGAACATGTCTGAAATCTTGCCAAGAGCCAGAACTCAGCAGTAATGGTTTAAGTCTCTGTGTCTGTACCCAGACTCTGGTGGAGTACGGCTCTAACGTGACAGTCCAGAACCAGCAGGGGGAGCGGCCTTCCCAGAGTGCCGAGCGGCAGGGGCACACCACCTGCGCTCGATACCTGGTGGTCGTGGAAACCTGCATGTCGTTGGCGTCACAGGTTGTAAAACTCACCAAGCAGCTCAATGAGTAAGTTACAGTACTTTTACTGTTGACGTTCCCATATTTTTTTTTTTCCAGTTACAATCACTGTTTTTGGATTTTGTAGATTGTTGTAGTTTCTCAGTTGTTGTTAATTTTGAACCAACCTAGACAAAGCATAAGCAAATTTCAAAGTCAGCAGAACTGTTTGTGCTGCTCATACCGGTGCTATGAAAATAGAGCCCATCATTTTTGCCTCTTCCTGTTACTTTGAACGGCTGAGTTCAAACACATCCAACAGCTCAATGGCTATAGTTTAAAGGCTGTTTACACTGAACTTGATTCAGCATTGACAGGTGGGGGTGTGTCATTGTCAAATTTTTGTTAATGTGTGTGTGTGTGTGTGTGTGTGTGTGTGTGTGTGTGTGTGTGTGTGTGTGTGTGTGTGTGTGTGTGTGTGTGTGTGTGTGTGTGTGGGGGGTTTGTCATGCAGACAGGCAGCAGACAGGATTACTCTACAGAAACAACTGCAGAGACTGATGGAGCCCAACAAGGCAGAGGGAACACCTTCCAGATCACCTAGGTAACACACACACACATATAGAGCCCTCATTTTACACACACTTGTTTACACACTGTACAGAAATATACTGTAGCTGTTTTATACCAAAATAAGTTTCTTCTCATCCATTGTGACAGCTACAAGATCACAGACAAGCTTCTAAGCTGACAAAGAGAAGTTAAGGTGTAGTAGCCAAAATATGCTGGTCAAGTCAGTGCGCCTGAAAAAAATACCGCCTATCTGAAGTGTCAGTGCTGAAAAAACAGCACCGTCACTGCAGCGATAGTTGTCACTCCACACAAGAATACACCAGTCTTTGGGGAGTGACTATGGTAACCTCCACTGAGAAGAACTTATACTCAGATTTGAGCAGCGGCAGTAGCAGCAGTAGTGAAAGCAAGTGATCGCTGCAATTTACAGCAGTTTTCAGGTGAGGTGACGAGCAGACCAAGAAGTATGGTGGGACTTTACAAATATTGCTGTTTAACTTTTTTTTATTATTTGATTTAATATTATAATTTTATCTGTAGATGCCGTCTCAGAGCTGAAATGAGTTTAACTTGTTGTTTAAACAATATTACCAATGTAGTAGTAGTAGTAGTGGTAGTAGTAATAGAAGTTGTAGCAGTAGGAGGAGTTGTAGTAGTTGCATGAAAAGCAGTAGTAGTAAAATGAATTATGGTAGAAAAAGCAAGTACTACTATTACTTGCTTTTACTAGTAGTGCTAGTATGTAGTAAAAGTAGCAGCAGTGAGGATGTTGGTCCTAGTTGCAATAGTCGCAGTAATGATTAATGGCATTAATAACACACACACTAAAAAAATTGACATTAAAGGATACCTTCTGTGTCTCTTTCTGGACTCCAGCTCCCATCAGCCCTCAGTGGAGGCGTGGCCAGAGATGATGTTGACAGCGGAGGGGACTCCAGGTGATGGTCAATGGTTGGTTCGTCAGGGAGGTGTTGGTCCAGACTCGGTGCTGCGACAGCTGCTGGGGAAGGACATGTCGGACACGCTGGTTCCCAGGGAAAGGCTGCCTCCGGCAGGTGGCCTGGGCAGAGAGGGCCCTTGTGGCCCCGGGGCTCCTGGGGCACGCAGACCAGGGCTAGTGGAGAGGAGAGAGCTCAAACTAGCGAGACTCAAACAGATCATGCAGCGCTCTCTGAGTGAATCAGATTCGGATGGTTATCCACCAGAGGAAGGTAAAAATCAAGGAGCCTCGGCCTCAAACACACTGCGACCTGATAGGCCATCCCACCTGCCAATCACAGAGGAGGAGCCAGTGTCAAACCACCTTAACCTGATGATGAGGAAGCACCTCCCCTCCTCCTCCTCCTCCTCCTCCTCCTCTTCTTCCACAGCTGAGAAGAAGCTGGCGTTTTCTCTCAGTGGGTCAAAGTCGGTGGACAGCGTCGGTTACAACCCCTCCCCCACCTCCAGCGACCCTGAGGCTGCAGATGGTAAAACACCAGAGACTCCCGGCGACTTCCCTGATGGCGCTAATGGCCAGAAAGTTGCCACTAGCCCCAAGAGCGCCCTGAAGTCGCCTTCGTCTCGAAGGAAGACGTCGCAAAACCTCAAACTGAGGGTTACCTTTGATGAGCAGGTCCACAAGAGCTCCAATCAGGAGCCAGAGCAGACCAAAGGGCATCATGGGAAGGAGAGGACTCCAACAGGAAGCTCTGAAAGCAAGCGGCCGTTCGGGGCATTCCGCTCCATCATGGAGACACTGAGCGGAAACACAAACCACAACAACAACAACAACAGTGGTGGTCAGTCAGGCCCCGCTGTTAAACTGTCCACCTGTCAGAACTCACCTGGCAGGAAGTCTGAGAGTAAAGGCAGCCCAGGAGGAGGAGCCAGGGGCAAAAGCAAAACCAGTAACGTTTAACCAACTAGTGCCTACTGTAGGGCAAAGAGCACATAACGAACAGACCACTACAAAGAGCAAACAGCAAGGGGCAGCGAAGATGAGAAATTTATTGGGACTTACAAGGTTGACACATTTTGTGTCAAAGGTTGTACTCCTTCTCAGTTTAACATTTCTGAAAACTGCACATGCATACACATCATGTGACATCTTATAAATACTGCTGGAATCAGCAAAGAATCAGTGTTAGCTGTGATGTCCACAGAGGATAAACATCCATAAATACACTTAGAAATCATATACAAATACCTAAAATGTAAACAAATATAGGCTAAAAACAGTGTTCATGTGTATCCCACAGCAAAGTCACTGGCATGGCAACATTATACTTCCGGTTTACTTCACCCAAAGTATCATGGGAACTGTAGTGCCAAAACGTATTAGTCCCAAATGGAAAAAAAGAATGAAACATCCATTACATTATCCATATTTTTTGTTTGTTTTACACTTTCATTACATAGTTTGACTGAACTAAGGCTCAGAATGTTTTATATCCCTGGATCAATGATCCTCTCTGAACATGCAAGCAAAAAACTCAAATAATACAAGTTTTTTCATAAATACTCTCCTACAGCAAACCAAACAAACCTTGCCATGGTTTTGAAGGATTTTCAAATCAGAAACTTTAACAATTCAGTTTGATGTTTATTATAAAATTATAACTGTGTGTGATCAAATCAAGAGTGTGATTTGGTCATTTGAAGAAGATCAGACTAAAGTTAGCCACAGCCACAGTTTATTTGGTTCAAACCACAGTGGTGGAAAAGCTGACTTTGCTTAATTTATGTATTTGGTTTGGAAACAGTCACATCAGCTGTTTACAAGCGGACCAGGTCTTGTAAACAAACAGTTTGTTTTTTGGACAGAGTGTTTATGACCCGTCACCCTGCCAGTTTGTCCCCTTTAGTACAGGAGATTTCTTTTGTTTGTTCAGTAAAATAGCGAAAGTGGCTTTCAGACTGCACACACAGACAATATAAAGTTAGAAACGTTTGTCTGACTTGTGGATGTATGTCAGCTCCACGCTTCTGTTCTTCTGTAGGTTTTATACCAGCAAACATAACGTTTCTCGTGTTCTTTGCCTCAAGCATTTGACTTTTGATGGTTTTTATACAGTTTAAGGACTGAAAGACAAAAGCAGAAACTGTCTCTGCTCTGTTACTGTCTGTTAAAATGTATTTGGTGCCGTCATTCAGCGACAGGAATCACTACAAAATGAATGAGAAGAACCTGTGTGCTTAGTGAAACCGAAGCAATTGTTTTTATTGACAGACTGAAGGAAGTCTGTGTATTAATCGCCGTCCTTTTAGAGACCTCACATCTCCATAATACAACTTGTAATACATTTTTAGTTTTGTCACATTTAGTTTGATTTTGTATCGGATTACAGAACATTCCCAGAGTTTATTTGTCTACTTAAACAAGACAAAAGTGTCAAAACTTAAATTTTCCAAATGGAGATGAAAGGTTTCTGTTCCTCTGGCACTCTGTTACTGTACTCTGAACTACACTAAAGATGAATATTAGTATTTATGTTTATGCACACGGTTATATGATTTGAAATTTTTAAACTGTGGTTATAATCATGCACGTGGTTAACGTGCACCAGCACAACAAATAGTTTTAAAACCACTGTATATATATAGTAGTATTTAATTTCTTTTCCATCATACTCCACACATTTTTTATTTCCATGGTTATTATCTATGCAGTATTTTTGGCATGAAGTAGAGTTTAGTTGTGTGATGTGTTTGAGACGGGGAGGTTTAAGGACGCACCTTCTGACAAAGGCTGGCTAACGGGCCAATCATATGAACTTTTTAGACAAAGTAGAAGAAGTTGAAACACAAGTTGAAACTTGTTATTCCAGAGATTTACAGCTTTCAGGAGACTGTGAACATTGACAAACTGTCTCAAAGCTTGAAACTAGAAGACTCAGGCTGTTATCTGATGCGCTTATCCAGTGTTTGAATTTCAATGTGGCAATATGTGGTAGTCGGAATATCCATTGAAATATAGAAAAAACAACAACAAACATATATATATATATAGCAGAAAATATTTCTTATTTTCTAATTTCATGCATTTAATTCAAGTTCAATTTGACGGAATCATAGATGTCTACTAAGGAGGGGAGAGACACTTTGTTAGGCTGTTTCAACCTCTTTTTCAAAAAATATGAATGTCAAATGCACAAGCAAGTGCGAATGGTGGGAGTTTGAATTTATTTGATCAGCTGATTGATCCTTGCTCCCCTGTCATTAAAAAACAGCTGTCATTTGTATTTTTCTGGACCTTTTGATGGTGAATACAGACACTAAAACCTCACTAGCAGCCCCAAGATGCTGCATTGTTAATTTACACTTTTTACACACCATTTGCCAGGGTTAGACAGATGGACAAACAGTTCAAATGTAGCTTTTGGTTTCTTTTACAGTATTGGGGATAAAAAAAAGTAATGTTTATTAATGAGGGTGGTGCTGTAGGAAAGATCATTAAAATCACTACTACTACCATCACAGAATCATCCAGCAGGAATATCGCCACCTAATTTCATGGAAATCTGTCCAGAAGTTCTCAGTATATCTCTTTGGTCCAAAGGTGGAACGACTGTCATGCTTCAAGGAAAACTCTCAATCTTTTGGGAAATGTGCTGTCTTAAACAGATACGATTCATATTTATTCATTCATTTACCATCATGTCTATGGACAGTTCTTACCTTTTGTGATGTGTTTAACCTAGCTTAGCACGAAGACTGAGGGCAAAATTACAAAATGTCCCTTTAAGCCTCACCACTAACAAAAAAAAATCCAAAAACACTTCTAACAGAAACACAGATTACAGCCTCGACTCTCTAATTTGTAGCTTTGGGAGAAACTGGATCACATCTGTCATGTTCTTGATGCATGTTTACATTATTACAAATACTGTGCAGCAGCATATTTCTAATCCAAACTGATCATTGTTGGACATCAGTGTGTAGAGTTTTCTTTTCTCATTCCTGTATGTTGATCAGTGTGATTCTGCTGTGCAGTTCACTCATCCCGTTTACAAAGACCTTTTCTACAGTGTACCATTTTTAGATTTACACACTCTTTGGCTATTTTTTTGAGGCAGTGGAGTCTGAGGTTTTTCCTGCATCCAGTCTGCTGATTATGACTTAAAAGACTTAAAAGAACAGTTCAACATTTGAGTGTATGCCCTGGAGTCAGATGAGGATGTATTTTGCAGTTTGATCTCTTTGCATCCAGTACACTTGATACACCCACCAATGTTGTTGATAAAGTCTGGCTCACAGTCGGTGTTCCAGTTTATGCCAAAGGTGCTGGCTGGGGTTGAGGAAAGCCATTTCTTTATGGAGCAGCTTTATACACTGGGGCTGTCATGTTAAAACAGCAGAGACAAAGTTGAACAGTTCTAAAAATATTGTGTGCTGCAGCATTAATTGGACTTTTGGAATCAACCTTTTTTGTCATTTAGTATGTGGGTCACCATGTCTGATTAATTGACTGAATGATTAACTAACTGGCTGTTGGACGATCACATGGATTTCTGGATGAAATATTGGTTGGCTGTTTGTAGTTTAAGCAATATTCCCCCATGTGTGCTGTCAAAAGAAAAGTGTTAATGTTATAAACTGTAATGAGCTTATTTTGATAATATTCAGTCCCTCCAGAAAGTTGCGATCAATTAACGCAAATTCAAGAAATCACTGAATTCTGTGCGACCTTGTGATTTGTCCGATCAGCGCAACTTTACTAATTTGTCATTGTTGTTTCCAGCGAGTTTCACCAATCATATCAGTACCCAGCACAAAACGTTGAGCCATACGTGACGAAAACTATTATAGATTTTATTCTCACTGGAACAAGTTGCCATCGATTTTTTTGAGAAATTATACAAAAGAAATGCAGCTATTTTACCGAGGTGTACCAAATACGTTTGGCCATATATCTCTGAACTGGGTGCACAGAGATGAAACTGATAGTAGTCCTCTCTTCTGAAACGCAAACAAGTGTATTTCCCAAAACTTGAATGTTTTACCAGCATTTGACTGGTGTTCCCTGGTTGAACTGTTCTTTTAACTTGTGATACTTTTTAAAATAGGGCTGAGTGGGAAGAAAACATGAGGCCATTGTTGTTTTGTCTTCCATTTTAGCTTTGGCCTTAATGTAACAGACAAGACTTTATTTGACAGACCTGTCATTTTTTTCATACCTTCCTTGGAAGTTTCTTGGAAAATAATTATGACATTTGTTCCTGATTATAGGGGAAATATATACCGTGCTCAGTTGGTAGACTTCCAGTTAATTCCAATGAACTGCTGGTATAACCTGATTTCAGCACACCGCAGGTCAGCTGAACATACAGAAATGTCAAATTTGTCATCAAGCAAGCAAATAATGCAACATGTGTAAAGAATACATTTTACAATAATACATTAATATGAATAAATATTTACTTGGTTTTAAATAGAGCTTTTCTTTTAAGGAAATGTCTCTGGAAATCCTCAACTCAACTCAACATAACTAACCATGATATTGTGGCTGGAGTTCCCAGGAAAATCTCAGGAAAGTCCCCACTGCCTCAAAATATGCTGACAATACAATCAGTGTTCTGTCTGTGGGTTGATTGTGTCGATGAGATTGTTTTTGAAATGCAGTTTATTCTATTTGAAGCGTCTTCGTCAAAACCGCTCCTTCAAGAAGAGGGAAAGGAAGTTGGCGTCATTAATGTGGCGTCGTTCTACAGAGGAGACAAACTGAACTCTACCCGTTTGACCCGTGTGTTGTTGTAACTCTTCAGATGGACGGTGTTACTGCATCAACTCGGATGTTTACTCTCAATGCAGAAAAACGTAATAAAAAGAGGCGCAATAACAGTGAATGTTGGAGAAGTCCGATCTGAATTTAGTTTTTTTTTTTTTTTTACAAACCAGCTTGTACAGGGACAGACAGCTGCTCTTCTGTCCTTCTGTTATTGAAGCTGTTGTGAAGACAAACTGAAATAAACTGTTACCTTGAGTGAATAAATGTCATTCTGTTTTTTTTTTTAAACTGTAGATGTTGAATAAGAGCTTTATTATCAGGACAATATTTATTAGAATCACTATAATTTAAATAACTCATTGTCATTTTTAATGCATTTTTCCTTCTTCCACATTTCCATTTTAAGACCTAAGCATAACACTCTTTATGAGGTCACTAGCTCCGCCAACACCTATCTGCTCACATGGATTGTGTCTGTGGCTTTTGCAGTCTTTCTGTAATAGTAATTTACTGTGGATTACATCTGAGCTGACTAGTGCTTTCAGTCACCAAGGAAGCAAGCTGCAAAAGCTAAAAGCTACTCAGTTTTGGAGCTTACCTCAGAATACCTGACTGCCAATAGGTGCTTTTCCATCCACCTGTTTCTTTGCACATTTTCAATTTGTGCATAAAAAAACTGGAAAGCCCAACTCAAAATATCACATTACATATGCAACATGTTCTCTAGTTGAGTTGGATACTGAACCTTTAAGTCAGAATTTGTCTGTTTCGCTGTGACAAGTAAAACTTAGCTCAATAAAATGAGTCCGATGCCATATTGTAGCCAACTGAGCAGCATCAGACAAGACAAATGGATGACAAAGTAAAACCTAAATGTGCTGCAACATGAACAGATATGATGTCAGCATTGGTTCACATTATCTGCAGATTGAGTTCAATCCTAAACTACAACTGAACGATCAACCAAAAAATCAGATATGAGATACTTGATTGATTACAAAGTTCGAAGTTATGCAAACTTCAAGCTCTTGCTGTAACGACTGAAGCTGTCTTTACCTTCACTGAGACCTCCTCCAACACCGTCAGAGGCCCTCTGCCGGTCCCTGGACCCCACTTTTGACCACCGCTGATCGAGATGGATGCCGTGTGTGAATTGTGCTTTCTGGTAATTTAATGGACAATACATAATGGAGTGTATATTTATTTCTGCGCGTCTCAGTGGCATCAAAAACAGTCACTTAACGGGGCAGGATTTATGGTGTTTGGGAAGCAAATTGGCCTTTGATGGTTCCCACGTAGGGTCGGTTGCTTCCCCACGGAGCCTAATGGGGTTTGCTCTAATAGCGTCCCTCAATCATAGCCACGAATATGAAACATGAGCTCGCTGGCCCACAATTAGCAAAACAGCACAGAAAGATACGAGGACAAAAAATGTGAAGAAGGCAGGATTTATCAGGATTTTCAAAATGCTCCTCGCCAGTCCATGTAACAAAAAACAAGAGCTATTTGTTTTCTTTTTTTCCCACCCTCTCTCTCCCACTTCCCTCCTTTTCTTCCAGGGGGGTGGAGGGGGGGTGAAGTTAAACTGATAAATTAGACCTCATTTATTGGACAACAGTTTGAGTCGATACCCAGGGGCCTCTGCTCTGCAGCGTGGACGAGGCTCCATAGCCGCTAATTGGTTCGCTCTGTGTGGATAGAGGGGGCGTTTTGGTATGTGTGTGGGGGGGTGTTTAAGGGGGCTGGCGAGGCAGGCGGGGCAGATGGGACGAGTGGTGCGTTTGCCCGGCGCTGATGCTCACACACACACACACACACACACAGAAGAAGTTGTCTTGCGGCGGACGTCCGCGGCACACGCCATGAAAACGGACGAGACGTGCTTGATTTGACAGCCGGGGCGGAGGGGTGGAGGGAGGGTGGAGGAGTCATGTATAGATTTTTGTGTCTGTTGTTTTGGCTTATTTGTGTGCTTCTTTTACTCAGTCAATCAAATTTAATTGACACCGCTGGGCTGGGGCTGGGGGCCCCGCGGCATGCTGGGATGACAGGCCTTTAATGCCAAAGAGAGGAGAGGAGGTTCTTCTGCCTGTGAAGGATGGAGGGGGGCTGAAGTGGTGAGGGAGAGGAGGAGGGGGTTGAGGGTGACAATTCCTCAGCCCGTCAACAGCATTAATTGATGTAACAACAGCAATGATGGATACTAATAAATACAACCTTTAAGAAAAAGTAATTAGATGGCGTCCTGGTCAAACCACCGCTACTGATTCTAGACTGGCTGATAAACACCATTCGTCTTCCAAGGAGGCCTTCAGACGGACATGAGGCACAATTTACATGCAGATCAAATTCAGCATTTGCATTTTGGCCTCAACAAGAAGACAACAGTGCACTCACGTCTTGAGAAACAAGTGTTTTAGTTTTTTTTTCTTACAAGAGCCAAACTCGCCCTTCGATGTTCTTCATCACGGCCCATAACTTCAAACACCTGATCTTCTCTGTGTCATTCATTCATCAACTGTCTTCTCTCGTCAACAGATGTCAACCCGTTGGCATCGTAGAATGTGGATTTTATAGACAGCATCCAGTCAGGTTACAGAAAAAAGAAGGCGAAAAAGAAGTAAACAGGATTTAACAAGATAAATCTGGGTGGTGAAGGGACAGAACAGCACTTCAGGTTCCCTGAGCTAGAGTTCTACAAAGGCTTATAATTAAGACTGGATTACATTCTGTACCCACGTCTTTAATACTTGACCCGACTGACCCCAACTGGTACTGCCAAAATGTGAGATCAGGAGCAATATTTTAGCTTCATGTCATCCATTACTGAATGATAGTTTGCCAGGCTGAGGCCTGAAGATCCATTTTGCATCAAGTGTGAACCTTTGGTGAAATCGCCCATTGGTTTGTGGAGAACAGTTTTGAAGCCTCGAGTTTGGTGTTTTGTCGCCATGATAGTTAGACAGACGTCATGTACTGTGAGTTGATCTGTGCTCATTGGCTGCGCAGTTTTGAGTCATCCGTAGCATTGAAGAAGACGTGAAACTAGCAACTGAGACCATAAACTAATTAGGCAACTGTTTACTGAGCTCATTAAAGAAGTGAGAAGTTAGCTCATTCTCTATTAGAGTAATTGGTATCGGTGTGTTATTGCAGCCAATGGAGAGCCCCCTGCTGCCATAACATAGAATGCAGGTTTTAAGACACTTCTGCATTGAAAGTCGTGGAAGCTATGCCCATTAATATACTGTCAATGCTTTGCATGTCCGTGCAGAGAAGGGTGTTCTGAGTAATATTAGGTTGCAGAGGCTCACGGAGGAGCTGACTCGCACTACTATGAAATCTCAACGATTTGTGGTATGAAGCTGAATGTCAAACAAACTGACTGGCAAGACAACTCCTGTAGGGAGATGCTGTTTGAAATAAAAAAGGATTCAGCTGTTATTCGTAAATATATTAAAGAAAAGCTAAAATCTCAGAATGACCATTTGCCTACTAGGCCCCTGAAGCTTTTAACAAAACCCAGTTCAACCCAGACTTGAACCTGACAAGTGCCGACAACACATCAACAGCACTGAAGTTGTGTCACCATGTGAGTGTGAACAAGACGTTCCTGAAAAACACAGTTAAAGGATGATTCCTAGTAATTGTAATTTTTGTAGTGTAATAACAATATATTTACCAGGTTAATAGCTGGAATCTGAGCACAATTTGTTCTTTAAGTATATAAGATCAGAGTGCTTCTTCCACCACTGATCTTGGGTGACATCCGTAAACTGCTTATGTTTCTCGACCCATTGTGACGTCTTTGTGTTACCAGATCTCTGATACTAACTTGGTTACAATAGTATTATCACGGATAGAAATAATGATGAAAACTGCAAAAAATAAGACCCAAATAATAAACCTGTATTAACAGTTTTCCTTCAGGTCTGATTGTGATTGACTATTCACATCGTCAGCATACAACATTAACAAAAAAACTGAAGCTCAGCTGCAAACACACACACACACACACACACACACACACACACACACACACACACACACACACACACAGGTAGTGGGGTCAGTATGTTTCCAGGTTCTCCATCTGCTTTAGTTTTTAAAATCAGAAACTCTCTTGATGAAAGTTGCTTAGGCACAAACAATCTGTTGTTATCAGTAATTACAGGTATATTCACATATAATTGAACAGTTGAAATTCTAGTTAATAGAAGTACATTTTTCCTATTTGTGAGCTGATGCAGTTTTTCTGCTTACTTATACAAACATTTAACATGATCAGAAAATATGAATAACTTAGATTTAGTTGTTGTCTGGTGTTTGTGTATTTAAGTGGGGGTGGAGCTACCCTTTTGTCTATATTTGAATCACAGATTCTATTTCAAAAATCATTTCAATTAGTATCTGTGATAATGAATCAAATTTACAGGTTTTACTGTATTTTTTATTAGATCCGTTGTTTCTTCCAATTGTGACGTGTCCAGCCTGTTCAGTGTGTATATTATGAGCACAGTATTTATAATTCAGCAGTAGTATTGGCAGGTGAACAGATAACATCAATACTCAGAGACATAAAAAAGCTGAAAATGTCCATCCATTGTAGTTAGATTAAACTGACGCTTAAAACTGATGAAGCTCTGTTTACTCAAAGAAAGTAAAAACAGTTTACCATCACCATGACAGTCGGAGGAAGAAGAATTCCACTATTTTTGATCAGTATTTCATCCTCTCTATACTGCATTTATACACTATACACACCATTCTTTATTTTACCTCCCTGCTGCTGAATTTCAAAAGCACATCTTCCATAACAATTACATCCATTTATCATGAAGCTTCCCTCTATTACAATCTACAAACATAATAAACTTATTTGTTTATTGGGACCATGAAAAATACTTTTATATTTAGAAAGGAAACGCTATTTGGAGATCAAAACGATGATGGTGGAGGAGAGCAGCTCCCTCTCACCTCTTCAGAATGTTAATAAATGTTTCTGCACACAGCGGGGCACAGACCAATACTTCACACAACTATTCTCCAGTACACCACTCTGCTTTATTCACTGAGCGCCTTGCCTTCATCAGGGTGGAGCCTGAGGCTGTTTCCAGTTTCCTTTATACAACACATTGATCTGTCATGTGATTGATATATCACCACAGATACTATTTATACAAAACTTGACAGTCATCTTTTTCTTCTCCTTGTCTTTAGTTTATACAAAAACCTTTAAAAAAAATTGAATGAGGGCAAGATAG